AGAAAGTCCAAGGCTAGAGTGAATATGGACCAAAAAATGGGGTAACTTAGTGAAGTGTTCAAGAGCCAACTCTAGTTCCCCTGGGAGATCAAATGGTCGATACTTTCAATCCAATCATGGGTGGCACTACCTATTTGGATATTTGGTGTGGCTCAATGGAACCTCACTCTAAGCCCTTAGTTAGAGCACCCAAAAATGGAAGGTGGGGAGAGTACCCATTAGGCTTGCGTAAAGCCACGGTGTCCCAAAATGTTGTCCCAAAGTCCCAGACTGTGAAAAGGAAGAGGAGCAATCCTCTAGTGCAGTGACTAAGGATACAGTCATATAGTAAGGAAGTTCCAGAGGACAATAGGACTTAAAAGTCAGGCCTGTAGGCCTTGTTCTAGTGGCAGTGTTGGCAAACACGGCCATGGACAAAAAAGGACTTGGTGGGGACTAAAAAAGGGATATTGGGGAAGGTTGTTCCCCACGTCTATAGACATTCTAAGGATGCTAAAGAGTGGATCTGGGATGACTACTCATGGACAGATGCCCCACCCAGTCTTGAAGAGACATGACTGTGATGCAGATGGTATTGGACCACTAGTGTGGCAAAGGTGATTGGGCATAGCCTTAGCATAACAAGTTGATATGTCGATGGTACTTTTGAGTGTCGATAATAGGATTGGACACATGGAGCACTTGGACCAAGTGCAATAGTCAAGCGGCATGGATGCCATTCTTGAGGCTAACAAGCCCTAAATCCTGAATTAGACTGTAAGCAACTAAATTTTCCATTCTACTTTAGTCACTTAACCACACCTCTGACCACTTGGAGGAGTCTCATTCACAACCTCCTTAAGTCTAATTCAGGACTTCGGGACAACATTTCGGAACACCGTGGGCCTACGCGAGCCCCGTGGGTACTCTCCCCACCTTCCGGATCAAGGCCTGCAGGCCCGACCACTAAGTCCCATTGTCCTCTGGGACTTCCTCAATGGTCAGTTCATCACCCAACACTGGGTCTGGCCTTCCTGGGCCAAACTGGCCTTTCCTGGCCAAATTGGCTCCACTGCAGTCTTTCTCCTTACTATACTTTTGGAGCTCACCAAACCCCCTAGGGTCTGGGAGACGAACGCTTTGGGCTTTCACCCTCTCAGACTCGAACTCGGACTCGGACTCGGACTCGGACTCGGACTCGGACTCGGACTCGGACTCGGACTTGGACTCGGGCTCGGTCTCGGCCTCCGCCTCGGTCTCAGTCTCGGTCCCGGTCTCGGTCTCGGTCTCGGTCTCGGTCCCGGTCTCGGTCCCGGTCTTGGTCTCGACCTTGGACTCCATCTCGAGTCCTTCTCGGACTCCATCTCGGACTCCATCTCGGGTCCATCTCGGACTCCATCTCAATCCATCTCGGACTCCATCTCAGACTCCATCCCGGACTCCACTTCGGACTCCATCTTGGACTCCATCTCAGACTCCACCTCGGACTCCATCTCGGTCCATCTCGGACTCCATTTCGGACTCCACCTCGGACTCTACCTCGAACCCCATCTCAGACTCCATCTCGGACTCCGTCTTGGTCCATCTCGGACTCCATCTCGGACTCCACCTTGGACTCCACCTCGGACTCCATCTCGGACTCCTTCTCAAACTCCGTCTTGGTCCATCTCGGACTCTATCTCGGAGTCCAACTTGGGTCCATTTCGGACTCCATCTTAGACACTTCCACGTGTCATGTGTTGGTCCTTTTGGGTCCCTTTTTGGAGCCTCGATTATTGCTCGCTTCGTGCTTGTTCCTCGAGCACTTTGTTGGGAGTTCCACTCCCGCTCTCGACCTTTCAAGTCGGAGCTTTTAGTCCAAACGTGTTACGCTCGTTTGACTTTCGCTTCGGCCACTACCACGTGGCATCCTTCCGGCTCCACTTTGGGGCCTAGGGATTTTGTGTCTCACATAGACTTAATGAGACTCCTCCTAGTGGTCGGAGGTGTGGTTAAGTGACTAAAATAGAATGGAAACATTAGTCGCTTACACATATATCTCTAACAACATGATTTAAAATGGAATTTTCCCAACTAAAAATCTAGTAAAAAATCATTGAATTACCACATTTGAAAAAGTGTATTATTGATGAGAGAAAAAATGACGTCAAAACTACTTAAAACCATAAAAGAGTGGATAGTATATTAAACAACAAATTCATATACTATTAACAAAGAATATTGGAAATTATTATAAGATTTTCTTCCTCACTCCTTATCCTCCACACTTAATCATTGTCCATTGCTACATTCAATTAGAAAAGAAAAGCTTTCCTAGAAGAACTTTCAAACTTACCTAAACATACCACCATCTTTGAGATGTCTATTCTAGATCTGCACTAATTGCCTGTTGATATGGACCTAATAAGCATACAAAGTGCTCTCTTTTTCTTCGTTGGTTTGAAAAAATTAGCTAAGCTATGAGAAGAAAAGAGGAAAAGAAATGAAGAAAAACTCATTACCAGATACTTGAAGATATGTGTTGATGAATTCATCTCCTGGTGCTTCAAGTTGCATAGATCCCACCATGGATCAAGAATGTGTCCTTGAGTTTCGTGGCATTCATTGTTAGTGGTGAGTTCTCCACACACACAGACAGATTGACATGGGCACCAAAATCAACACTGGACGTTATAAATACTAAATGGTCCAGATCATCCATACTAGTGGCAACACTCTTAAGAGTTTCTGGAAAAAGATGCTGTAGAAGTAGAGGAAAGGAAAACTCTTTGTTAGTGATTTTAGGATGCATGTAGTTGTTTCTATGTGAGAGGGGATCAATCCTCTGTATTGGCCACAAGACTGAGTATCCTTGTTAACCATATCAGGCCCATCCACTTTTTGCAAATCTCATCAACAAAGTGCTTGCACAATTCAAGAGAATTATGACATGCATGATGTAGAGCTCAGTTTGATTAGTGTTAACACTAGAGACAGCAGATTTCAGAAATACCTGAACTTTGCTTTCATCCTGAACTCATAGTTGTCAAAGTTAATTTATAAGTTATATTGTCACCACGAGTTAACTCTGATCACCAAGAAAATGTGGTTAATGCTAAGAAATTGTAATATTACTTTTGACATAGCCGAACTCTCACTTTTAACAAGTGATATAATGATAATACTCATATCATCCAACAAAACATCAATAACAGTGCCATTAATTTCAACATGTTTAGCAAGTGCAATACAACACCCATCTACATTGGAATGACGGGCTGGTTCAGATGAGTTAGAGTTTGAAGCCCAAGCATGAATGAATGAGCCCGATGACAAGGCCTGGAATTGGAGCCCAATTTCAACCATGGCATCCAGTGGTTTAACGCAGCAGTCTACTATATGGCCATAAATCTAGGACACTTCTTCAGCACATAAAAATCAAATAGTCTGATGCAATCAGTAATGCAATTCGCTACCATCTCATCTTCTTGCAGAGAAGAGAAATATATTGAATTTCTCGTGCTACCTCCAAACAAGCGCTGCAACAATCAAGAATGTGGTTATTTAGCTGTGGCGCTGTTCTTGTATTGCATGAGTGGCATCTTCGAGAGAGGTAATGAACCCCACTTTTTCCACAAGTTCATGGAATATACTGGGGAATGAAAGCGTTTGATAGGGGTCAAAAAAAGGAGAAGACCCAAACATTTTTCACCAAAACACTGACTTTAAATAAGTCTAACATTACCTTACATTCATCTCAACCTTCGAACTTCACAACAAGAACTGTAGAATCCTTATCTGCAGGATCTAATTCTGAGAGGACCTTTGTTGTTTGAACAACATCAGTGCCAACAGCTTCCTTAATGGTTAGAGAGTCTAGTTTCTTGAAGGATAAGGTTGCCAGGATCAATATATCTTCTGGTTGTTTCGTTGCCTCCAGTAAATTCATATTGCCATCATCTTTTGGGGTAAGCCACTAAAACATAACAATAAACATTTGATGACAAAACATGTTTTACTCACCTTCAAACCTTCAGAACACACCAGAGCGACTACAAAAGCACCAGGCCCACCAACTACTACAGCATTTCCCTTGATAGCAATCACTGTAGAGTGCAACTCTGGAAGCCACTGATCCTCCTTGACAACAGAAACCATTAACCATAGAGGTAAAATACTTAGAAGTTACCTGAATTGTGTGGATGCTTTCAACGTCATCATCCTTTTCCCAGTCTTTCTCATCCTCTTCAACTTGAATGAGCTCTTGGATCCTGTCCTGTGTCCGTTGCTTCACTCTGAATACATGGACCTCAACAAGTCAGTAAAATGGATCCCTAAGGAATCCATCTTTTAAGTCCTTTTACCTACAAAAGAGACTTTCAATGGAACATCTCAAGTTTCTGTTGGTGCAAAAAGCTTCTGATAAACACATATTGAACAGCCCCAGCCTGTACAAACAAAGGTCCCTTGCTACTGCAAAACAAAACCCAGATGAGCTTTTGGTGTGAAAGAGAAACGACTGACATGGATGTCTGGCTCCACGATAGCCATCCGATACAATAACGTGGATTTTCTCATCCCCTACTTGCAATTCTTGAAACAAGTTCTGCAGCCATCGCCTTTGAGAACAGCAAACTCAATCAACAATGCTCACCAGATTGAAAGACAGCTTCTTGTCCATCCTAGCACAAGACAAGCCATGAATCTGTGGCCCAAACCCGCAATCAAGTGGGTAAAACCGCACGCCCCTTGGGCAATTCACCTCCCGCTGCATACTTGCTCTCCTCTGGGTAGATCTTCCTGTACTAAAAAGGAAAGAAGGGCTTTATATATACGTATATATAGAAAATCTTAACGGAAGAGGCCATTCAAATCCAAGGTGGCAGCAAGAATAGGTTGTGATCCAAAAATTGATTGTTTCGAGGGAACCAATACTTTGTTATGATGGCTCCACGGCAACGAGCTGGCAGTCTTGATTTATCTTTTCGAAGTATTTGGAAAAAGCTTTTGTTTATTGATGTCTAGATTATACTGTGCCAATCTTTTCTTAAACTTCATTCCTTTTAAGTTCTCTCACATTTTTCATGTGAGGACAGTTTCGTGAGAAGATCCAGGAGGATCGACAGAGGCGTATTTATTGCCCGCAAAGAACCACGGAATATCTGAAAGTTATCACAAAAACTAGAAACTTTAGAATCAATCAAACCTAAGAAACAAAAACTTCCACTTGTGTGTTCTTAGAAGGCTACTTCCTGTTCTGTGAGTTGAGAATCTCCACCGCATACATTGAGAGCTCGCGGAGATCCCTTTGCTCGATCTGGAGCTGCTGGAGCATACTTTCCTGGTTTCTCAGCAGCGCTTTGATCTGTTGGCAGATGAACTCCGATCCTTCCGGCCGGTTGAGCATGTTGATCGAGCACCGTGGCGCTGGTTTCGCGTGCCATCGAGACTGATTGATCGTGACTTCGTTCAGCCTGGAATGAAAATCCCGATGAACAAAAGAAAAACTTTCCTGGAAACTTACCTGTCGAGGATTTTTATCATGTTCCTCGTCTCGGCCGGGTGGTAGAACACGTCCCTGACGCGATCCCGTCTCGACTCCACTCTTTCGACTTGGCCGCACGACTTGCATGCGTTGATAAACTCGCTGTCCGGAGTGCTGGGCGAGATGTTTGAAACTCTCACCACCGTCGTCTTTGGGACGTCTGCTCTGGAGATCCGCACTAACTGCCCGTTGATATGGACCCAGTGAGCACTCAAAGCGCTCTCTTTTCCTTCGTCGGTCTGGATAATAGATAGCCGTGAGACGAAAAGAGGAAAAGAAACGAAGAAAAACTCATTACCAAATACTCGAAGACATACGTCGATGAATTCATGTCCCGGTGCTTCAAGTAAGTTGCGTAGATCTCGCCATGGATCGCGAGCGCGTCCCTGAGTTGCGTGACGTTGGTCGTCGGTGGTAAGTTCTCCACACACACGGACAGGTCCTTCCTCATCTTCTGCGGGTCGCCAAGAGGTGGAATCGGCGAAACAAATCCTCCATTTTCGTTTCTCGGTGGAAGCTGTCTCGGCGGCTGCTGCATCTGTGGCGGCGGTGGTGGCGGCATGTCCATCCTTGGAGGAGGCATATCGTTCCTCGGGAATGGCGTATCCATTCGAGGCGGCATATCGTTCCTTGGTGTGAAGTCGTTTCTCGGTGGCATTTGCATCTCGTTCCTGGGTGGCGGCATCATTTCGTTCTTTTGAAATCCCATCCCTTTCGGCTTAAAGTCTGGCCTTTCACCAACAGCTCCTCCTGCTTTGTTCATATTCATCATCCCTGGCTGGCTGAACCGAGGAGCGTCCTGGCCGTTCCATACTCTCGGTGTTTGAGACATCTGGTTCTTTGCGTTTTCTGTGTTTGGAGGAACCATGGATACGACTTTGGAGACCAGGTTGTCGATGAGTCCGCCCCCAGCAGGTTGAGGCTCTTTGATTTTCGGTGCAACGTCTGAAAGCTGCGTGTTTTGTGTCGGTGCTGCCTCTGTCTCCACCTTGTTCCCAAGAATTACAACGTTCTTCCTTAGAGCATTGCTCAAACCATCCGCAGTCTGCACATAAGAACGGAAGCGTTAGACAACGAGAAGAAATCAACTTCGAACGTACTCACCTTGAAATCAATGAAACCGTACGTAAACTTTGCAGTGGGTTTCATTGGCTTGACCGCTGAAACTCTTGATATCTCTCCACAGTCTCCAAAGGCCTGCTTTAGATCCTCCTCCGTTGCCGCCGGATTGAGAAACCTGACGAACATTCCATGCCGAGGAGGAAGAATTCTCGCTGCGAAACTTGGCCGCTTGATTTCTTTCTCCTCCGTTTCGGACGCAGCAGACTCGACAGCTGCTGCAGTCTCTTCTTTTTTTCGTTCGGTGCCGAGGCTTTTCAACCTCGACAGAATGTCGATGTAGGTGCTGTTGATTTCACCAGGAGTTTCGCCAGCAGCCCTTTTCAGGCTCGTTATCTTCTCTTCAGGAGCACTGCTGGATGGCGGAGGAGCAGTAGAAGTTTTCTCTTCCAAAACTTCCTCTTCTTCTTCCGACTCGTCTTCCTCTTCGGATTCGCTCACTGCAGCTGCTGCCGGACTCGACGCTTTCGCAACGTTCGGAGGCTCGACTTTGGGTAATGGTTCTTCTGTCGACGGCGTAGCAGTGACTTCCACTTTCACCGTTATACTGCTTTGAAGGTCTGCAAGGATGTCCTTCACCACGGCTCGCGAGCCACCCGTCTCCTTCAGGACGAGAGCCAGAGTTGGAAACTCTCCATTGTTCTCCGACGCATACCTGAAAAAATCAAAACGTTAAGAGGCATTCGTTCGCTGGTCTCCAGAAAGCTTACTTTTCCACGAATGACTTGACTAGTGCTGCACGCTCGTCTCGCGAGAGCCTCTTCTTCGTGAGCTCGGGTGGCTCCTCCACTGCTGCGGGTCTTGCAAAGGATTTCTCAGTGTGCTTTCTCCATGATACCTGCACAGCTGCAAGTTTCCACCATAGCTTAAAACAAAAAAAAATAGAGAACTTCCAAGACAAATGTAAGAGAAGGCACATCTAAATCGTCGCTGGAGGCCGAAGAACTAAATTCCAATCTCGCCCAACATGAGAACTCACTCCCAATCGCAAGAAAACAAATCTAAGAAACCACACCAATCCAATGCAGCATCAAAAACCCCACGAATCGAGATCCTATACAGAGCAAACAAACTCACGTAATCTGCTGGAGAGATTGCTGGAATCCCTGGAAAGCCCAGCGTGCGCGGCGAAGCTCCTCTTCGAGACCGCCGATACCAGAACCCTGGATCCCACGGATTCGCGAAGAAGAGCGGGCATTCTGGCTGCCAGGACTCGCGCCATGGCCAGGCGCCGGTATTCCACTGCCGCGGCGGAGAGAGAGGCGCCACAGGCGAGGCTGCGCGGCGACACAACCATGGCCAATGCCACCATTTCGACCATCAAGCACAAAAACCCTAAACCCTCCCCATTAGATATTTTTCTTCTCCAAGGGTGTGTTCTTAGCTAGTTAGGGTTTATGCTAGAGAGACGGCCATAGGATAAGTCTTCATATTCTTCGTAGATTTCGAGCATTCTTTCTCACAAACTGCTGACGATCATCAGAATTCCTAAATTTCAAGAGCATTCTTTCTTCTATCGATCATATTTCTTCCTCGCTCCCAGTTCTAGCGTGTTCTTCACAGCAATCTAGTGGATAGCCAATGCTTCTTCGTACATTTCGCGCATTCTTTCGTACATCGTCTACCTCCGAAGAGCGATCCGTGGAGTGGAGTCTCGATTTCAAGGTAGGGACTCTCGATTTCTCGCAGAAATTTCATCTCTAACTCTGAAGAACATCCAGGGGATTGTATGGCCTGCGCGGCACACATTGCGCAGCTCCTAAAGTCTTGCAAAGCTTCCAGGGATCTCTCCGAGGCACGGCGTCTTGACGCTCGCATCGCGGCTTCTCGCGAGCTCCAGCACGACAGGTACCTCTTGAATCTCCTCGTCGAGGCCTATGGCAAGTGTGGCAGCCCCCGATACGCTCGCGCGGTCTTTGACAGGATCCAAGCTCCAAACCACTTCTCCTGGAACATCATGCTCGACGTCTACGCTCGAAACGGGAAGCTTTGCGAGGCCAGGGAAGTGTTCGACCAGATGCCCAGCAAGGACGCCATCTCCTGGAACACCATGCTCTCGGCGTATGCCCGGCAGGATCATACACTCCAAGCGCAGGAGCTCTTCGCCAAGATGCCGCAAAAGGACGTCGTCTCTTGGAACTCCATGCTCACTCTCTACGCCAGCAGCGGCCAGCCCCTCCAAGCGAAGCTCCTCTTCGAGAGAATGCCGCTCCAGAGCGAAGCCACTGTCACGGTGATGATCCAAGTCTTCTCGCAGCTAAGTTTGATCGAAGACGCGAGGAGGGTCTTCGAAAGCATACCCGAGAAGACCCCGATTCTCTGGAACGCGATGATCATGGCCTATTCGCGGAGCGGCAATGCGAAAGAAGCCGCCACCTTGTTCCAACAGATGCCCAACAAGGATATAGTTTCATGGAATTCCTTGCTCACTTCCCTCGTCCAGGAAGGATGCCTGGACGATGCCAGGAGAATCTTTGATGCCATGCCCGATACCAGCATTGTCTCGTGGAATCTTATGGTGGCCGCGTACTCACAACTTGGTCACGTAGACGAGGCTGTCACCTTGTTCGAGACAATGCCGTACAAGACCATCGCCGCGAGTACGGCGCTCATACAAGCGTTTTGTCACGAGGGGTTTCTCGACAAGGCGAGAGATTTGTACGAGAGTTTCCCGGAGGAGAATCTCCAGGCATCGAATTCGATGCTTCTAGGATATGCCCATTCTGGGTATATGGACGAAGCCAGCGCCCTCCTTGCTCGGATGTCTGTGAGGGATGTAGATTCCTGGAACATTATGATCCTGGGATATGCCCGGGATGGGCATCTCCGCGAGGCCGAGTGTGTGTTCGAAAACATGCCGGAGAAGTCCGTCTCGTCGTGGAACGCGATGATCACGTCGTATGCCCGGAATGGGTATATAGCGGAAGCTAGAGCGGTGTTTGATTCCATGGTGAGGAGGGACGTAGTGTCTTGGAACGCGATCATCCAAGCCTACATTCTTGCGGAAGATCTCGCGAAAGCCGAGGATCTCTTCCGTACAGCCCCTGAAAAGAATACCGTGACTTGGACTTCGATGATCCAAGCTTATGCTCGCAACAACAAGATTGCAAAGTCTAGAGGGCTTTTTGAGGCAATGCCACGCAAGGATTTGATCGCGTGGAGGGTGATGCTCACGGGATATGCCCAAAACGGGCATCCAGACGAAGCCATGGAGCTCTTTGCGAGAATCCCTCACAAGAGCTCGAGTTTGTGGAACACTATGATCGGGGTCTACTTTACGGCAGGAAGAATCTCCCAAGCCAGAAAAATATTCGAGAGCATGAATCCAAAACCAAGCATTTGCTGGAGCACCCTTATCGCAGCATATGCCCGTTCTGGGCATCTGCTGCAAGCAGCAGAATTGTTCCACCAACATCCCAGCCCGGATCTCGAAACTTTCATCACTATGATCACAGCGTACGGAAACTCTGGCCTAGTAGAAGATGCCAAAAGAATCTTTTACGCGATCAAGGAGCCAAACCCAATGGCCTGGAATGCCCTCTTTGCGGCATATGCTCAGAACAGCCGCCTTGCTAGCGCGAGATTCCTCTTCGATACCTTTCCCCGCCGCGACGCCGTGTCGTGGACAGCGATGGTGGGCGCGTATGCCCACAGCGGGCATAGCGGCCTGGCTTGCGAGCTCTTCCAAGAAATGGAGACCCACGGCGTGGCACCCGATGGGATCACTTTCATCGCGCTCCTGGGCGCCTGCAGCCACCTGGGCAGGATCAAGCACGCGGGCAGCTACCTAAATTCCTTCCCGGAGCGAGAAATCGCCCCAATTGTGGATCACTACCAGTGCATTGTCGACGGCCTCGCGAGATCCGGGCAGCTAGAACAAGCCCGGGATTTGATCCGGGAAATGCCGTTCGAGCCGATCGCGGCGGCGTGGACATCGCTGCTTGGCGCGAGAAAATTGAGCTTTTTGCCCTAATTCCCGGGCTTGGTTTCTAGGGCTGACGTGTTGGGGTTTCACAACGAACGGACGTCCGTACGGTGCTTCCTCGTACCTCTCGCTCCTAGGGCACAGGGTTTCCGTGCTCTCGAAGCGCGCAGCGTGCGAGCGATCGATCGATCGATTGGATTCCTGCGAGCGCAATGGTTTGTTTCGATCCTTTCGTGAGTGAAGGCGTTTAAATTCGTGAGCGAGGGTTTTTTTCTTGTGAGAGAAAGAGATCGGGCATTGTGGTGTCAAAGTTTTGGAAGAATGTAGCGCGTTGTGTAGAGAGAATCCGGCCGCTGTTGGAATTGTGAGAGACTTTGTGGAGATTTTTGGGGAATGTGGGTGAGAGCAGGACATTGACACAGTTCTTTCTTCTCTTCTTTATCAGAGTTCTAGTTTGAGGGAGAAAACAGTGTGAAGAACGATAGAGTAAGACGAACGAAAGAAGAAGAAGAAATAGAGAAGAGACGAAGAAGAAGTGATGTAGCCACTGTTTCCATGACGACGTCTCCAAGAACAATGAGTAGCGATCCGGAGGATTCGAGTTGCTGTTCTTCGCCTTACGAGACCAACAGATATCAGTCACCGAGCGAGAGAAGAAATGTGGCAGTCGATCAGGGAGGAGTTTCTTACGTGTTTGAGCCGTTCATGGAGACCAGCTTGGCAATGGAGAAGCCGGACGTTGTGGGGATTGGTGGAGGTGCTTGGTTGCCTGCGACTGCGCCAGTGGAGCCACCCCGGCCTCAGACGTGTCCGCCACTCGAGTTCCAGCTTCCAAAGCGGCTTATCATTGCTGCTCGCGACAAGGAATCGCTGCTGGAGGAGGTGATCACGTTGAAAACCGAGCTCCAGCACCAGAATCGCAAGATTGCTGCTCAGAGGATTCAAGCCTCGACGGTAGCGAACGAGAACAGGTCAGTATCTTCTTCTCGTATTTGCTAGCTTTGTTCTATAGAAAGTGCTGCTTGTTTTTGTCTGTAGGAAACTTGAAAAAGATCTTGAGGATTTGGAGCTGCAAAGAACTGATGCTCGCAGAACTGGCGGCCCTGAGAGGTTACGTAGCAAAGTTTATGGTATAGCTCTTATCTTTTCCATTTCAAATGTTAAACCAGAGAGAAATGCAGGATTGAAAACTAGACTAGAAGATCTTCACATGGTTTGTGAAGAACAACGCGATGAGCTTTTCACACTAAGGAGAGATGTTCGCCTAACGCGCTCCAGAGTAAGAGCATAGCAGCACTTTGTTTGCCAGGGATTTTCTAATGTGTTTCTAGAATGCCAGGAACTGGAGGTTGAAAGAAATGTGTTTGCCGATGAAATTATCAGGCTGCTGAAATACATGAAGCGCTTGAAAGCGGGGCAGAACAAGCTGAGTTGTGAGAACAGAGAACTCGCGCTTGTGAAGGACAAAGCAGTACTATTGGAGATTGCAAACAAGCGTCTCGAGAGCTGTCTAACAGTAAGCTTCTTCTTTTGCAAGACAATTTTCACAAGCTTGGCTTTGCTACAGGCGATTCACAAGAATCTAGAGAAAACGAAGCAAGAAACTGCTGCGTTCAAGCAAAAGGCACTGGAAACGAGCAATTCCAACAAGGCGGACGAGAAGAGACGGAGGGAGCTGGAAGACAAGGCAGCAAAGCTAACCGAGCAGCTAGACACCGAAACAGCCGAGAAGGAAAAGTGGGTCAGGAAAGCTAGCAAACTGGAGAACGAGATCAGGAAGCTCTCCAAAGAGCTACGTGAGGCCGAGGCAGCCAAGGCCAAGTTCGAGCTACTCAACACTTCCAAAAGCCCGCCAACTCCTCCTCCACCAGCAGCAAGGAAGGCTGCGACTGCTCCTGCAGCTCCACCATCGCCTCCACCGCCAGCAGCTGGAAAGAAGACTGCTGCTTCTCCAGCAGCTCCACCGTCGCCTCCACCGCCAGCAGCTGGAAAGAAGGCTGCTGCTTCTCCCGCAGCTCCACCATCGCCTCCTCAAGCAGGAAAGAAGGTTGCTGCCGCTCCAGCAGCTCCAGCATCACCTCCACCGGCAGCCAAAAAGGCTCCTGTCACTCCGGACAAATCTGCCAAGAAGGTATAGTGAAACACTCAAGTCAAGGACCAAACAAGAGTCCTAGAAATGGCTACCACACGGATCATACGTCGACAGTCGGGATCCCCAAGCAGGGACCAGGTGGTCTAAGGACAAGGCCGTAAAAGCTCCCGTCACTCATTCATCCGTCTTGAATGCACAGACGAAGCCCGGTGGTGACGAAACTAGAGGGAAGTCAGCGGCAAACGAAGCGTCTCCCAGAGGTAGCTTTTGTTTTAACACCGTCACGTATGCTTTACCTTTTTCATTTTTTTTGGCAGAGGCAGAAGAAGATACAGAGCGCAAGGCAGCCGAAGCGTTGCGCAGGAAACAAGAGGAAGAGATGCAGAGGAAGCAAGAGGAAGAGCAACGGAGGAAAGAGGAGGCAAGAAAGAAAGCGGCAGCTGAAGCACAGGCAAAGAGCAGAGCTGCAGCTGGAAACGACGCAAAGAAGAAAGGTGGCGAAACTCAGAAAAATTATGAAGACAGAAAGAAGAAAAGTGATTTGGCTGGAGAAGGAGGTGGTGTTAGAGAAGATAAAGACGCAGGTGGAGAGACTGAAGAAGAGGCAAAGAGAAAAGCATTAGCAGCTGCTGAGAAAGAAGCAAGGAGGAAAAGATTTTTGGCTGACGAAGACGAAGAAGCAAGGAGGAAAAGATTGTTAGCTGAAGAAGAAGCAAGGAGGAAGAGACTGTTAGCCGAAGAAGAAGAAGCAAAGAGGAAGAAACTGTTGACGGAAGAAGAAGAAGCGAGGAAGAGACTGTTAGCCGAAGAAGAAGCAAAGAGGAAGAGACTGTTAACGGAAGAGGAAGAAGCAAGAAGGAAGAGACTGTTAGCCGAAGAAGAAGAAGAAGCAAGGAGGAAGAGACTGTTAGCTGAAGAAGGAGAAGCCAGGAAGAAAGGTGGAATAACTGGAGCCGGGGACGATGAAGAAGCAAGGAGAAGGAAGGCCGCGGCCGAAGCAGAAGCAAAACGACTCGAAGAGGCACTGGCCGAACAGAAAAGACGGCTAAAACAGCGTGAGCAAGAACTGGCCGAGCAAAAACAAAGTGTGGCAAGCAATGACGAGGGAAAGAAGCTTAACGAAGACGAGGCGCGAAGGAAAGCGGCCGAGGGTCTACGTATCAAGGAAGAGGAAGAGAGAAGGCTGAGGGAGGAAGAGGAAGTGAAGAAGAAGCGAGCTCAAGAGGAGGAGATGAAGAGAAGAATGGAAGAGGAAGAGGAGGAGATAAAGAGAAGAATGGAAGAGGAAGAGGGCAAGAGGAAGGAGGCCGAGGAAGAGCTCAGGAGGAAGCAGGAGGAGGAGGAACGAAAGCACAGGGAGGAGGAAGCGCGCAGAAGGAAACTCCAGGAGGAAGAACGGGAGAGAAAACGCAGAGAGGCCGAGGAAGAAGAAGCTCGCAAGAGGAGAATCCAGGAAGAAGAGGAGATGAAACGCAGGGAAGGCGAGAAGAAGAGGCTGGACGATGAGGAAAGAGCGAGAAAGGAGAAGGAGGACGCAGTGGCTAGAAAGGCCGAGGAGGATCGCAAGAACGCGGCTGGAGGAGGAAGGCCGAGGATCAGAGTTTTCAAGGCGAGAGGGACGACCTTTGCCGAGGACACCAAGCAGGTGGTGGACAGAGGAGCTCCAACGTTTGAAGGGAGGTCGCGGAAGAACTTTAGTACGGCTTACATGGCTCCAGCGCCAGCGTCTCCAGCGTCGTCGTCCACGACCGAGAGTAGCAGCAGCGCAAGGAGGACTACCTTGCGTGTGGATCCAAAGTCCGGAGGCGACCCCTTGGAGTAGACTCTGTGCTATCGTTTGCGAGTCGAGCTTTTCTATCTGCGGGGTGGCCGAAGGCTGTGCTGTGGACGAGGGAAAAAGAATGTTACCAAAAACTTTGCTTTTAAAAACGAAAGCTTACCACCAGTGTTCTTCAAGGATCATACTCGCGGAGGCAGTGTCCTGGAAGTAAAAACTTAAACTTGTGAGCGTTTCGCAGCAACCACAGCGGCAAATGGACTGCTGCGTGAGATCTTGCGGCGTTTCCCATCTTGGCTACCAGCTCTTTGAACGTGTACTCCTCCGGAAGGAGGCCAAACAGGTCCCTGCCTTTACAAACCGCGTCCTGGATTCTTCTCTCGGCGTCCACCGAGCCGAGGCGCGAGGCTTTCAGCCGGTCTGCGTGGCTGTAGGCTCTGATCTTGAACAGGATCTCACTGACGTGTCTGAAACAGAAGCTGCAGTGCCACCCTGCGTCTGCGAGTATGAAATCTGACCTTCGGAAGTGTCCATACTTGGTGGCGCCCGGCTGATACAAATGCACGCACGGCCTCCAAGCTTTGTCGTCCACCAGGAACTCGAACGAGTAGAGATAGTTTCTCATTTGGAGGTGCATGGGAGAAGGAAATCCATCGCACCATCTGCACAAGGAAACTAGCACTGATCAAACTCACGCATCACAAAAACCGACAGCCAAACTATAAACTATTCTCGAAAGTTTGGAAACTCACAGACATCACCTAGCCCAACACAGCCAAAGCACGACTGTGCCAACGAAGAACACTACGACCAAGACAGACAAGTGAAAAAGACACTAAAACAAAACTCTACCTTAGCAGCTCCAGCGTGTGCCAACTCGGGATCTCATCAGCATCTGACATGATAACGATGTCTCCTTCTTCAATCCCCGCAGCCACCAGCGCTCGATCCATTTGCTGTCGCTGGAACACCTCCGTCGCGAAAGGACTCTCATTCTCCAGTAAAGGCCTCGTCCAGATCTCCCGGTAGAACAGCTTCGAGGCCGCAAACAAGAACCTGTAGCTGTTTTTCGCGAAGAAGAGCGGCTTGGCCAGACCAGTGAAAGTACCATTTGCTTCCAGGAGCACGAACTTGGTCACGAAAGGATACAATTCTCTCCACCGGATCTCCAGCAGGTCGAGCTCGTTGCTAAAGATGATGGCGTCAAAGACACGGCGAGGGGTCTCTCTCACTTCCCAGTTGTGTAATTCGCACAGATCCGAGCGGGAGAGGTTGTGAGAGAAGTAGTGAGTGATGAAGTCGAATGGCTTCGGTGGTGTGTCCCAGACGGGCCTGAGAAAGTATGATAAGCTCAAGAAATTGGAGTAGCCAGCGTGAAGGCAGAGGATCAACACGAGTACCAAAGCGGCCGCTAAGATTTTTCTCCCTCGTGGCTTTCTCGAGAGCATCCTTTTCTTCCGGACCGATGATTCGTGCACTGCTTCGTGGGAATGGAAGGAACCAAGTGAGAAACGAGGGAGAGAGAAAGAGTGCGAGAGAGTCACTCTCTTGCAAAGGAATCTTGTAAGTACCTGGCGATTGGCCTTTGTCTGACCACTACAGCCATCGCTGGAGCAAAAGTTACTCAAAGTTACTCTGGGAAGAAAAGAGAGAGCGAGAGAGAGTGAGCTGTTAGTATAAACTATGAGATGATCTTAAACAATGGAGAGCCATGGACTTACTCCCGAGTGATCTTACGCTAATCGCTGGAGCAGTCCCAGATATAAAACTCCCTCGATTGTCGTGGCATCTAATGCTGTGACGAAAGACATGGATAAGTGGACCTAGATAGTAATCCAAGAATGAAGGAACTAGACTATAGTAGCACTGACCTGTGAGAGTGATGTCACGACTCTGGCGAAGTCGTGCTTGAATCTTCCACCCGAAATCCACGCTTTCCAAAGCTAGGGTTCTTGGCAGCTTCCTGTCGCCGGCAATCGTAGAAATGCGTGACACTACTTCTCGATTCTTACCGCGTTGGCGGCATCGATAAGTATGCATCGATCGCCAAGCAAAGGAGGAGCTGCTACTCGCATGGATGCGCCGACAATCCCACAAGGAATCGCGAAGAAAGCAAGAATGAGGGCGAGGGATTCCATCGCGCCGTGCTCGCTCCACTTGCCCCATCTCATGGACTATGGATGGCACTGCCAGCCCCTCCTCACTCCATCTCCATCGCCAAGCTGCCCAAGAGCCCTAAATTTGCGTGGAAGGAAAGAAGAGCTAGAGCTTTGGAATGTCTTCCAGGAATTCGATTGCAACCGCGACGGTCTGATTTGCAAGGGCGACATCGCACAGATGATGCTGCGGCTGGATCGCAGCCTCTCGGATCGCGACGTGGCCGCCACACTCGAGGCGATCGACGAGGACGGCGACGGATTCGTGGATTTCGGGGAGTTTTGCTCCATCTTCCACGGTCGCAGGGATATTTTGGAAGGAGAGGAAGCGCCGGATTGCGAGGGCGAAGATCAAGAGGAAGAAGATCTGATGGAGGCTTTCAGGGTCTTCGACCGCGACAACGATGGATTCATCACGGCGGAGGAGCTCCACACGGTTCTCGCCAGGCTAGGATTCGTGGAGGAGCATGGCGGCCGCCCCAGTTGCTCCAGGATGATCCGGATGGTGGATTCCAACGGCGATGGCCTGGTCGATTTCCTCGAGTTCAAGAGAATGATGTGTAAGCCCATGATCGCTGCTCATTAGAGATCTATAGATCGTGTAAATACATTCTTTCTAGCTCGATCGATCTCATCTATCGACTCATTGACTAATCAAATGTACTGCGCGGCACAAGCCGGGTCGCGCGGCACACACCGACCGAGCAGTAACCGCGCGGTACAAACGCGCCAAATTGGAAGAGCCCTAATACGCTTAAATTTGAAAGCTTTTTTTTCGCGCAAATTCTAACACCACCTAAAACCCTAAACCGTCCGGCTCGCGAAAAGTAATGTACTCCGTTGTAGTCTAGTCGGTCAGGATACTCGGCTCTCACCCGAGAGATCCGGGTTCAATTCCCGGCAACGGAAATTTTGGCAAAATTTTTGGTCGAGCTCCTGTATCATCATAGGTATCTTGTTGAACGAGATGCCCACAATAGCAAACCAAGAAAAGATAGCGCAAAATTTCCAAGAGCCTTTTGGAAAATGGTGGCAGGATCCGGATTTGCTGCTCTTGATCGATCACAGTGGCTGGATCGTTAGTTGGCCGCTACCATCTCGTGGCAATATAAGCCCAGCCCTCACTCGTTCCCTCACCCTTGCTTTCTCACCCTAGTGGTCCCTTTTGCGAGTAGTATTCAGGTAAGCAATGCTCATTCTATGCTTTCCATCTGGGGCTCCTGGGACTAATGCGTGTTTGTGTCGGTTTGCTTTGTTCAGACATGGTTAATCTGTTCAACAATGCCGGCCCCGTTGCCGCAAATGCCAGCTCCGCCAGCAGCATTATGAGAAGCGTTGTAATCCGGAATGGGAAGAGGATCCTCCGCAAATCTTCCCCACGAAAGGAGGACAAGGAGAATTGATGCATGGCCGGGAGGGAACTTACGATTGAGCCGCAAGCAGGATCCTGCCACTAAATTTCCAAAAAGCTCGTTGGAAATTTTGCAATGTAGTTGGCTATGGCCTTTTGGTTTTCTATCCATGTGGGCTTTGCATTCTCCTTTGAGTTGTCTACCTGGAGTTGTTTGTCATAGCATCTACCATCCCTAAAGATTCAAGAAAGATACCAATATGCAGACACGACTGCGTTCCACGAGAGGCTATATTGCTTTGGGATCCTTTTAACAAAACTCAATATGTCCATACTGCTGGCCATGGCAATGGCATCGCCAACCTGGTGATGGGCATGAGAGGTAGGAAAAAGGTTGTGGTCTCGTTTGAGAACCGCAAATCTTCCATTGAGAGAAACGAGGAGGAAAACAGTTCCAACAGCAGCGGGACAAAAAGCTTGTCCATGATCTTGAATTATCTCCCGCCACTCTTTCTTGTGGCTGGCGTTGTTCGCATGCTAGGCAGGCCGAAGCGGCCAAATCAGCAGCTTGTAAATTCTGATAATAACACTCCCAATTTCTCTACCTACTGGAAGAAGGAACAAGATTTCATTCTGAGCGTTTAGAAACCCACTTCTATACACTCCCTTCCATTCCCAAGCTTCATCCAAGCTTTTTGTTTGGCGCGTGGACCCGGGGAAGGACTCGATCACTTCTCGCAGCACACCTGGGACGGGTGTGTGCATCGCGGCCATCGCACGATGATTTGTGGTCAAACGCTAGCCTGTTTAGCTTGATTTATAGCAAAACACACCTTCGATATCTCCTCGATTCCTGTAGAGATCCCTACGCTCCTCCAAGTAGTCCATCGTGTCCTCTCCCTGCAAAAACTTAGCTCTCGATTTCCTCGCAGTTCTAGCCACCTTTCCGAGCTCAATTTCAAGTTGATGGACCTCACACTTCTTGTTGCAATGAACATTCCGGTGGAATGCTAGTCTCCTGCGATGACAGCAACAAGCCTCTGTTTGTCCAACTCCATTCTGTGATCTCCATAGCCTGCTTCGAGTAGAAAGACCGTGATTGTTGCACAAGCTCGGCTGATGAGGAACGAGAAGCATAGAACTCCTCCTGCCCAGGAATCGATTGGTGGGCTCTTTTCCCGTTCCATTGCTCCCATGCGAAGAATCCCTTCGTTTTCAGATTCGGAGCGTTTTAAAAATAAAACACAAACACCAAGCTTTTGATGATTTCAGTGATGAGTATGTTCGTTTGGTGCGTGGATCCGGTGAAGGCCTCGATCATGGCTTCTCGCAGCATCTGGGACGAGAAAGCTGGGTGTGAGCATCGCGGCCATTGCACAACGATTTGTGGTCAAACGTTAAAAATTCTTGGACAAAAAAGCAGATGCTTCCCTCCTCGTCAAATCCATCGTGTAGAGCAAGGCCAACCAGCCATCGGCTATGATGTTCACTCCTTGAACATCACACGCTCCTCCAAGTACTCCATCATGTCCTCTTCGCCGCTTCGCTCTCAGTTTCCTCCCGCGGTTTTACCACCTTACATCTTGCTCAGCTTTGGGAACTTCAAGAGCATCAACTTCACCTGATCAATGACTGGACTTGTCTCCATTCTAGCAATTGCTTCTGCTTCTCGAACTCTCGAATATATTAGCTTTGGTATCTCCAATAGCAGCATTCCACCTCAACACCAAGCGTCTAAACTTTGCAGGACAAAACTTATAATCACCACTCAATCTCGTCAACTTTTCACAGAAGATGTATCTCTGGCACAGCCAAGCATGCAAATCTCTCCAGTGGAAGATTTCTACACTCCTTTAGCGACAAAGACAAATGCAAGATTGTTGTTGTTGTTGCTGTCATTGATGACATTCCATTTGTTACACTTACAAATCTTTGCTCACGAATTCTTGAGTTTGCATGGAACTGGCTCGGCGCAGCAAGTCATCTATAATACAGATTTTGCCAATTTCAGCCCCCCAAGTTGGAGACCGCTGACAAATGGATCTAGGACAGAATTAGCATTCACTCGCGCCATATACTCTCAAACAAGTCTGGAATCTAACATCACGGTAGAGACAATGACATCATTAAGTTATGCATGTTTACAATAAAGAATTGTTTCACGAGCACTTCTATGTTTTCGGGGTTATATGTGGCAAATCAATTGGGATGCCATAGCTCAGTTGCCTTTGACATTATAGCAACTTTATGGTTAATCTTATAGAGTCATGAGAGGTGGTTTTCTTATTAAAACTCGGCAATGTTTTCATGTACACTAATGTATGCATCTCCAGGAGGGAGATTCAAGACGGCTCTCGTAGTTGGGGCCGGTGTTCTGTCCAGATATGTGGACTGGACAGATGGGAAGACGTGTATTTTTTTTTGGCAATGTGGCTGGAGCTGCGGTACTCAAGGTGAGTAAAGAAAAGACATCACTATTGAAGCTTGTCAATATTGAGTCGTTGTCATCAAAGATTTAAACAAGATACCTATGATGGCCATATGCACATACCATGGCGTTTCACGAAAGAAAACTTTTCTCTGAGATCTTTCGAAAGAAGCATCAACCCAATTGTCATGCCATGAATGTTATATATTTGCGTTAGAAAGTTTTAGAACGCAATGCTGCGCCACGGCATCTCCGGAAACAGTTCCTGCAATTGGTTTAGATTCCCACTCTGGGAAAGGGCAATCCAGCGTGGCGAAGGGAGTGATCGCAGTTCTCCAAGAGACCATCTTCCAACTCCTCTCCAAGTTTCCGATAATCGTGAGCAGCACGAGATCCTGGCGGGAGCAGTCGCCATTCCGATTATACAGCCTCAAAGTTTTTGAAAGTTTTTTTTCGCGCGAATTCTAGGTGGTCACTTGCGAAGGGAGGCAACACAAAACTCTGCTCGGGCCATCCCCCTATGCTTCTCGATCTCGGTTTCTCCCCTCCAAAAGAATCTGGCCTACGTGGTGGAGCTCGAAGTTCTAGAATATTGACCACCTCACTCGTTCCCTTCTTGTCTCACCCTTGCTTTCTCATGAGCTTCCTGTAGTAGAGCAAAAGCACTGGAGCTCTCGATCGCCCCGTGAAGGAAGCACTACGGTTGTCTGGCCGCTGGACCAATCGATCGATCGATCCTTTGGATCTGGGAACGAGCCACAGGGATGCGCGCCTAGTGTTCCCTTTTGCGAGCAGTATTCAGGTAAGCAACCTTTAAGCTCTCGGAAGAACAACTTCTATGTCTAGCTCTCCAAGAATCCAAGTCTCTCCTCTATCGACAAATGGAAAGCTTCTCTCAGAAAGTTGGCTCTCCAAGATTCTAGGAAGAACAGTGGCTCATTACTCTTTGGATTACATCGACAAGTTGCTTGGCCCGGAATGGTTTGCAAGCGTATGCATCCATTCCCGCCTCGATACACTTGTCCTCGTACCCCTGGATCGCGTGAGCCGTGAGCCCGATTATCGGCTTGGACCGATACCCGGCTAGTTTCTCTTGGGCTCGGATGCTCCTCGTAGCCTCTAAGCCATCCAAAACTGGCATCTGGACGAACAAGAAACTCAGATCTGGAAGAACTAAAGGGAAGAAAAAACTCACCTGGACGTCCATGAGGATGAGATCGTAGCGATCACGGTCTCTCTCCAGCGCGCTCAAGCACTGCTCGCCATCGCCCACCACTTCCACCGTGGTGCCAAACTTGCGTAGCTGCTGGCACGCCACCTTTTGGTTTATAACGTTGTCCTCGGCGAGCAGGACTCTCATGCCGCGCAGTATGCCAAGGTCCTCCGGCGGTGCCACCGGACCAAGTTGAGTTACTCCGGACACACTGCGCGCCTCCGCTGAAGTGCCGCAAGGTGCAGCCGAGTGACGTTGGTTAGCACCGCGCGGCAGGGAGTAGCCGGAGTTTGGAGTTTCTTCGTGTGTCCTGAGCCCATTGGAGTGACACGATGCTTCTTCGGCGGATTGTATCCTGTCCTGGTATTGGATGGACTCTACCTCCTCGATTTCCAGGCTCTTCTTTACTGCTCCTCGATTTGATTCTTGTGTTGCCACTACTCGATCGAAGCAAGCAGCGAAGTAAAATGTGCTGCCTTTGCCGGCTTCGCTCTCGAGCCAGATCCGGCCTCCCATCATCGCCACCAATCTGGAAGAACAAACTTGGAAACATTGAGAAAGAAAACCATTCGAGACTACATACCTTTCGACAATGCTGAGTCCCAGACCAGTTCCTCCATACAGCCGGGTGATGGAAGTATCGGCCTGAGAGAAAGCTTTGAAAACTTCCTTCTGTTTCTCCTGGCTGATACCAATGCCGGTGTCTTTGACGGAGAACAAAACACACACAGCCTCTTCTTCCCTTCGCTGCGGATCATTCGAGACATGATTCCTGGGACTCACGAGCTTGAGGCTGTTGCTTCCGTCCGAGTGAAGGAATGCTCGAGGGGAGGCTAGCGTGCTGTGGCTGGAGCGTCGTCTCTCCAAGGCTTTGACGTACTCGAGCGCTTGCGAGGTGGAGGAAGTGGCCCTCAGGAAGTCGTCCTCGGTGTAGAGTTTCGCGGACAGAAAAACGGAGCCTCGCTGCGTGAACTTGATGGCGTTTCCCACTGCAAGAAAGTAGAAGTTGGCATCAAGACAACATCCAAATCAAAGGTTGAACTTGAATATAAAACGAGCAAGCAAACAAAAAACACGAGAGAGATCAGCATCACGAAGAACAACCGAGCCAAGAATTCGATGGAAATACCAAAACCTTTGAAGAGCTTTTGATGGAAAATAGAGCTAAAGAAGAGCAATGCAAAACTAGGAAAACTAGAGAAGATACTCACCAAGATTTAAGATACACTGCTGGAGCCGCCCAGCGTCACCGATAAGTTGCTGTGGAACTTCAGCCGAGACCTCCCACGACATATCCAAGTCCTTTTGCCTGGCACTGACCTGGAAGAAAACTCAAGAAATTATCTTTCACTCGAAAGCTAGAAAACTATGCCGAGATGATAAGAGGATCCATGCTCTTACTTGAAGCATTTTCATGGTGGAGCTGAGCAAGTCACAGACGTTAAAGGGGACGTGTTCTAGCTCCAAACGGCCAGCCTCGATCTTGGCAAGGTCGAGAATGGTGTTGACAATGTGGAGGAGCGAGTCGGCCGACTGTGCGACCGTGTCCAGATGTTCACGTTGTTCTTCCGTGAGATTCGTGTCCAAAGCCAACGAGGCCATTCCAATTATCGCATGAATCGGTGTCCTGCGATTCAAAAGCTTGAGTTGACGAACTAAAGTCGGGTAGGAAGAACGAGAAACTTGAAATGTTCTACCTGATTTCGTGACTCATGTTGGCCAGAAACTCCGACTTCGCGCGGCTTGCTTCTTCTGCCGCGGCTTGTGATTCTTGGAGCTCTTTGTTTGCGAGCTCCAGCTCGTTAGTTCGTGCTTGAACCTGCGGAGAAGTCATAAGACATCGACTAGACAAGCTTGCTACTACCTGTAGCTCGAGAGTGGAATTCATCTCGTTAAGTTCTCCTTCCATTTGCTTGCGATCGTGAACTATCGCAGCAAGAGTAATAGCTACTATTGCCAATACGCAAACGAACATTTGCACCTGAAAGAACCAGAGTAAGAACAAAGGATCATCAAAGGAAGCAGAACTTGGAAAGAAGAGAAAACCTGTTTTCACTACACCTGGAGCAAAGAATGGTTGTTGTTCTTACGATAAAGAGGTCCTCGATGCTTGGCAGTGCCAGCGCTCGCGATCACTGCCACGACCAGCACGGCCAGAGGAAGCCCAATGCGATTGAATCGAAACGAGGCCCAGATCACCACCGGGAAAACCAAGTATGACAGCCTCTGGACGAAGCTCAAATCGCCAACGCCAAAGTTGAAGAAGATGACGAGCGACAAAACGATGAGCAAGACGAACAAGGCGATGCACTCTCCTGTCCGGACGATGCACTTCCGGATGGAGCGAGCGTCGGGAGCTCTCGAGAGGATGAGCGATGGGAGTGGCTGAGGCTTGGACGTCGTCGATAACGATCGAAGTCGCAAGTAACTCTCCGGTGGAGCGCTCTCCATTTCGCTCGTCACAGATGATATCCTCGCATCGTTTGCGGAGGTGGTGGCGGTGGTGATGTTTCCATCGTCGACTAGCTTGTCTTTGATTCTCAGCAAATCCAAGAGCTTCCCAGTGACTCCACGCCTCTCGGCTGCTTTGGTTTCTCGATCACCACCCTCGTCGGGAATTTGGATGGAGTGTTGGTGGCTCTCCTGGAATCGCTTGCTCCCATACATTTTCCAGAATTGCGAGGCATAGCTTCTGCTGCGTCCCCAGTGGATCGGCGACGTCCCTGGAACGAAGAGGTTCCAGAGGTGGAGGACGCAGGGAGTGTAACACAGGATCGCGGAGAGATCGCCCAACACCCAAGTTGGCCAGATTTCCAGAAACTCGCTCCACTCGGCCAATCCAAACACGGACAAAGAGAGCGCGTTGCCGGTTCCAAAAACGAAGCTGACGAACGGGGCCACGCTGAAGAACCAAAGAGCGTCGTGAAGAGTGTCTACGGTCCGTGCACCTTTCCTCGCTTCCTGGAAGGAAAAAAGATGAGTTTTTTTTGCGCATGCATACGTCAAATCAAGTCCCAGAAGAAGAAAGCACGAACTTGAGAAGGAAAAAATCATCAATGAAGAGGATTTATCGATTCACAGAAGTAAGAAAAAAAAAAAAACGGGAGAGAAGAGCTCCGCGAATGAAAGAGAAAGAAATCTAAACTCATGGATGAATCCAAGCTGAAAGCCCACGATCGAGAAACACCATCTATCGAAAGGTAGAACAAGAAAGAATCTAACGACGAAAAGATCTATCCAAACTTACGGCGGTGGAAAAAAATCCAAGAACAAGGAAAAAACCAAACAAAGAAAGCCATGGATGATTCAGCGCGAAGTTTACCAGGGAGAACGACGAAGGAAGCAAGCAAACGCGCTCTACCTGGACTTGGAAGCACATCTTGCTATTGTTGATCTGGGGCGGATGATTGAGCAGCCATCCACAAGTCATGGCCTCGAGCGTGGAGAAGATCGCGCAGCCGCAAGACGCCGGCAAGTAAGCTCGCGGCCGCCGCCCATGGAAGTACCAGACATTGATCCCCAGCGTTCCCAGCAGCAATCCCGCCCAAATGTTGTAGCCCACGATCAAAACCAGCGCTACCATCAATCCCGACGGCGCCCAGATGGGCGATGCCTGCGCTCTCACCACAGATAGCGTATCCGACAGCTTCCCAGTTCCAATGTAGAGCCACATGATCGCGGCATTCACTGCCAGCCAGCGAGAAACCTCGCGCATTTTGGCGCTCCTGGATCGATCTTTCGGCCCCGGGCGGGGAATCTAGCCACTCTAGCTACGACCCAAGTGCGTGATCTTGCCTGGATTGCTGGCGATCGAGGGAATGGCAGGGATGATGATCGTCCATGATTCTTCTTTTTCTTGGTTTTCTTGTTCTTGGATGGAGGTTTTAATTGCGAGAGGAACTTTAATGGCGATCACTCACCTACTTGAGTCGCCGCGGCGGCTGCCAATCTCGGTGTTGGCGATGGCCGAGGATCTCGATTTCTCCTCGCCGGGGCGTGGAAGAAATTGAATCGCCCAGGCGGAGATGGAGATTTTCTAGCGATCCTGGGTTTCTTTCTTTCGCTCGATCGAAATTGGCTTTAGATTCTTCCAGAGCCTCTGGCGATCGATCCAAGAGATGGATGGATTGGAAGGAATGGATTGAACGCATCCACTCACTGTTCTTCTAGGCTCGATCTTTCTCTCTTCTTTCTTTTCCATGGTAAAGGTGATGGTCGGCATCTCCAGCTTTGATTAAAGAAAGTAGCCATTCAAGAATGTGTGATGTAGACTGGATCTCCATCCTCACGGAAGAAATATTCTTTTTTCTGCCGTAAAATTTCAAATTTGAGGATATTCTACGCATTTAGAGCTCTAGCTAGGGTTTCGTGGGGCATGGAGACAGGGGCTTGCCGCAGAGCCCCGGATTGCCGGCGAAGTTCTCCGGATCCATGGTGCTCAGCGGCGCTCCATCAGGTATGGCGCCAGTGAGCTGGTTGTGGGAGACGTTCAAGTAGCGCAGGCGCTTGAGCGCCAGGAATTCCACTGGAATCTTGCCTGTCAAGCGATTCTGGGCGAGATTCATCCTCTGCAGGCTCGTGAGGTTGGCGAGGCTGCGCGGGATCTCGCCCGCGATCGCGTTGTCGTCCAGGTAGAGCCCCGTGACTTGGGTCAGCTGGCCGAGCTCCGGTGGAATTCTTCCAGTGATGATGTTGGAGCTCAGCCTCAGTACTGCGACGCTGTCGGAGTCGTCTTGGATCATCCGGATCTTGGAGAACCAGCTTGGGATGGCTCCTGTGAGGTGGGAATGGTCGAGAGTGAGGAAGGAGACTTGGGAGAGTGTGGTCAGTCCCTCGAGAGCCTGGAAGCTGAGATTGTTGTGCTCCAATCCAAGCGAGTAGAGCACTCCTTTTCCCAAGTTGGACAGGTCCGCCGGTACTCCCGTGAGAAAGTTGGAGCTAAAGTCCGAGTAAGTCAGCCTGGGGAGAGTTTTTCCAAAGCTGTCTGGGAGTTTTCCTTGGAGTTTGTTGGATTGGAGGAAGAGATTTGTGAGGTTGGAGTTCCGTCCGAGAGCAGCGGGTATAGTTCCGGTGATGGAGTTGAAGGAGAGGTCGATGAGACACGAAGATCCTAGGGGCTGTTGCTTGAGGTTGAGGTTTGCAAACCAGGAAGGTATCGGTCCTTGGAGTTTGCAGCGACTGAGAGAGATGGTTGAGAGCTCCGGGAGTGTTGCCAGTCCAGAGATGGCGTCAAAGCTTCTGATATCGTTGTTGTCTAAGTAGACAGCGTTCAAATTGACGAGCTTGGCCATGTTGGTGGGGAGTCCAGTGAGGTTGTTCATCGAAAGCTGGAGGACTGTGAGATTTTTGAGGCCTCGAGCAAATCCCTCTGGAACTCGCCCGGACAGCAGGTTTTCGGAGGCCCAAAAGACTTCAAGACTGGACAGAAGTCCCAAAGATTCGGGAATGCTGCCGCTCAATGAGTTGGACGTAACGTCGAGCTTGACAAGTCTGCTAAGTTGGCCGAGAGAGCTCGGTATTTGTCCCGTAAGCCCAGTGCTGGAGACCGAAAGCTCTTCCAGGGAAGAGAGCTGGCCGAAGGAGCTGGGGATGGGACCACGCATACCTGCATTTTGAGACAGCTCCAACACTTTGAGCTTCTTCAGGTTCCCAAGCGTGTCGGGGATTCGTCCAGCGGCTTTGGTGCCGGAGATTCTCAGAGTTTCCAAGCTGGTAAGCTTGCCAATCTCAACAGGTATACTGCTGCTGACGAGCGTGTTGGAGATGTCCAGGAAACGCAGCTTGGGGAGGTTGCCGAGAGATGGAGGAATGGAACCAGAAAACTTGGTACCACTCAAGTCGAGATACTCCAGGTTTTGAAGGCCGCCGAGAAACGCCGGTATGGACCCTGTGAGCCGGAGGCCGTCCGAGAGATCGAGCGTTTGAAGATTTTTGAGTTTACTCAAGGACGAAGGAATGGAGCCCGTGAACCAGCTTCCTTGGAGATTTAAGATGGTGAGATTCTCGAGGCTGGCGAGGAACGAAGGAATGCTGCCGGCAGACGCATCAGCTCTTTCCAGGATGAGCTTCCTCAAGCTGGTAAGTTTTCCAATAACCGATGGAAACGGTCCTTCGAATCTGTAACCTGACAGATCCAGCGTTTGCAGCGTGGATGCGAGCTGAGCAAGCGACGCTGGCAGTGCTCCGGAGAAGAAGTTGGTGCCCAAGTCGAGAACCTCCAGCCGAAGTAGCTTACCAAAGGTGGAAGGTATCGGACCGTCCATGCTATTGCCGTGGACGTTGAGCGTACGGAGGTGGGAGAGGCTTCCCAGCTCCGGAGACAGCGTACCTGTTAATCCCAGGGACTCCAGCTTGAGCTCGCTCACCCGGCCGCTAGCTCCATCGCATTTGATACCAGACCACTCGCAGCAACTGGATTGCGGGCTCCAAGTGGTAAGTAGCTTGCTTCGATCTTGGTCGGCGTCCTTGAAAGCCAGCAATGCCTTTTCATCTTCACTGTTGCAGGACGCTGCGGTGGTGTGGTGGGCGAGCAGTGAAACTGTCAAAACAACAAGGAAAGACATACTTGTTCTAGACATTGCGACTAAAACCACGGATCAGTGACGAGGTAAAGTCGCTTGTTGTTTCGTAGGTACTTCTTTGTACTGATCTTATCTACAGGGATACGAGTTCTTAATTGCTGTCGGTGTCAGCCATTGTTTTGGACTTTGTTCGTCGATGGCTGTGCACCTTGGAAAATGGTTAGTAGTTTTTATGGGGTTTCTATGGTGTGCTGTTTCTTCTCACATTACCAATGGAACGCGCGGGAGTTGGAATCTCACTCTTTTGTTCTTACCATTCTTGAGGTACTCATAACTTTTTCTGTCATTGCAGTCGCCATTTCTTGGCCTTTGTGTTCGATTGCTGGCAACGTCAGAAACAATTGGTGGCCTGGAGGTTATCTTTTAGTTCCAAGTTCAATGGTTCTTCCTTGCATTAATTTACAACTCACAAGGTATGGCCAAGAAAAAATTATATGTTGACAATTTGAACAACGTAGTGTCGCTTTGGCCGAGTGGTTAAGGCGTGTGCCTGCTAAGTACATGGGGTTTCCCCGCGAGAGTTCGAATCTCTCAGGCGACGCAATCGTTCTGTTAATTGTTTCATCTTTTTCCCAAGTTTCTTGGAGTGGAGACAGTGAGCGATAGTTCTCACTTTAAGATCAAGCCCTCGTCTCTTACGCGGAGTTGGCTGCCCTTGGCTGAATGGGCATCTTTCGGATATGAAGCGTATCTTTGGAATGGTCCAGCGGGGACAACTATGGTGAAAGCGTATTCAGAGAATGTTTGCTTAGAGATAGCCAGGCTAGTGTTTGAAAGGGTATAATAACTGCATATGCCCAATCAGGGCATATTGAAGACGATGAACTTCTTTTCAAAAACATACCACAAAGTAGCTTTGTAACGTCGACTACTAGCTATGCACAAAACGGCATTATAGAGAAATCACGACACTCGTTTGACGTGGCGCGGGTGGAAAACCTTGACGTGGAATGTCATGATAGCAGCATATGCCCAGAAAACTGGGCAAATGACCATTATGATCCAAGCATATTAGACTCTTCCACAGAATGACAAGGCGAGACAGGGTCGCTTGGACTACCATGGTACAGGTATATGCGCAGAATGGTTACTATGACGAGGCAAAGTGGGTGTTTGACCCCATGCCAAATCGCGACGTGGTAGCTTGGACTTACTTGATCCAGGTGTACGGGCAGAACAAGGGTCACGCCGTTGCGAAGGAACGGAACATACATGACATGGTAACTTGGACATGAGACCATGTTGCTGCCTTGTATGATCCTGGAGGGATTTGATCCGGATCAGGTGACTTTTAGCATTGTTCTTGGCACCTATAGTCACTCTGGATCCCTAGCAGCGGAGCTTGTTGAGAGTATGCCTTACAAGGCTGATAGTTTTGCGTGGACGATCCTTCTCGGGGCTTGTAATGCTAGCGGTGATCCTGTTCAAGGCTTGCTAAACAGTCATCGATGGTCAACAGGTTTCTAGCTCTGGCCCTTACGTGACTTTCTTTAAAACGTAGTAAGAACTTGAGATTGGTCACAATTTCGTGGAGGATAGATCCGGAAAACTTTGGCAGGGTAGCAGCGTTTGTCTGCGAACTAAAATACAGGTAAACGGTTGTCAGCGGAATAGGGACGGCTGACCCTAGACACTCCACGGCTTTTCGAAATCCCAAGAGACTCCACGAGAAAATTCAAGCTAATCAAGAGGACAGCTCCTTTGGATGATCACAACCTCTGGGTTTGGGGTAGCCAACTTGTCATTCTCCCAAGACTCTTCCAGGGTATTTCGTAATGAATGCCCGTTAGGTACGGTCTGGCAAGGGAAAAAATTTACTTTTTCGTACTTATACCCTTGTCTTTTGTAATCGTACCCAACCGTAAGGTCGTATACTTTGTCTATTCCTGGCAGACGTGCACATTGGTGTTGGGCTGGAATGGAGAGCTCATCTATTATGTGTTTAATTGAAATCTTAATATAAATTCCCATTTTATTTGGAGTATGTGTCCAAAACGACTTACAAGCAAAAAAATGCGGGCAATCTGCATCACTATGACATGCTAGCAAATGCCACGCATTGATTTTTTGCTGCCACGTCTGCCATGATATAATGGGACCGCCTGAAATTTCCGCCACCTTTCTTCGTTTGTCCAACTCCACCTCTCCTTTTATAATTTTACGTGAAAACCTAATCAGGGTTTCTTAAATAACCGTTGGCATTTATATACAAGAGTGGCTCTTGTGCGTAAATATTCTCCTCTCTTCCTCTCTTCCCTCTATTAGATTATCGATCTGGAGCCCTCTAGAGCGAGCAATCCCACCTCTAGAACTCATCGCAAATGGCATCGCGATCGAGGAAGCCCACTCTCGAGCTCCAGATCCCAGCGCCCGACGAGAATCCCATGCTGCTCCCACTGATCGATTTCAACTGGCACTTCCAGTCGATCGTGTCGCCCAGCGGCAGCTCCAGCGCCTCCCAATCGCCGGTTCTCAGCCCGCGGGGATCGAGCGAGCAGTCCGAGGAGGAGTGCCTGCGCGACGAGTTCTTGCGCGTCTTCCAGGCGATTGACGAGAATGGCGATGGGCTCATCAGCAAGGAAGAGGTGGGCAAGCTCATGGCGAAGCTGGGCCACGGGATGAGCGATTCCGACCTGGAGCTCCTCATGCTCACCGTCGATCTCAACGGCGATGGATGCGTGGATTTCGAGGAGTTCCAGGCCCTGTACATTACGAGCGTGGAAGGCGGGCGCATCGACGGCGGTGGAGGCGTCGGCGGCGGCGGTGGCGACGGTGGCGATGGCGCGGAATCCTCCGACTCTTCTTCTTCTTCTTCCTTTTCCTCTCTGGCGAATCCCCGCGGCGAGGAGGACGAGGAGGAGAATCTGAGGGATGCGTTCCGGGTGTTCGACCAGAATGGCGATGGATTCATCACCGCCGAGGAACTCCACCGCGTGCTCTCCCGCCTGGGATTCATCCAGGGCGCGCGCAGCATTGCCGCTTGCAAGAACATGATCCGGGGGGTGGATTCCAACGGCGATGGGCTGGTCGATTTCCTGGAATTTAAAAACATGATGCTGGAGCGCCCATCGCCCAGATCCTACTTCGCGACCATGATCGAGGCGAACTGACAGTTCACGTACGGCAAGATTATGCCCCAGGTAATATACGCATATGCTTGATTTTGAATAGAAGCCATTGTATGGTAGAGGGACTTCCCCTTGACAAAACTCGCAGTAGTTCTATGACGTAAATGTACAATTTTTTTTTTCAGTGTTCTTGCCCGTTAGTTTTGTTCGTCGCTTGCCATCGCGTGAATCTATGCTGCGCTTAAAAATCCCATCCCACCAATTCGATCGAAGGCCTCTCTCCCTCCAAAGTTTCAAGCTTCCGAGAAGAAAATAACGCTGCTTATCACTCACCTATGGACGGGAGGCCACTTTTCCCCACTTTCTCGAGCTCGGCTCGGCCCTCCTCGCTCAAGGACTCCCTCCACTTCTTGCTCACCTGGGACGAAACGTAAACATCGTTAGCGCTTGCGTGGTTCTGTCTAAACGAGAAAAGGAGAGCTTTGGACGATGGATTTTACCGAAAGCCGCTCGAGCTGCTGGTTCATGGACTGGCGGTGGATTGAAAGATTAACATTTGCTGCTCTGTGGCGTTCCTGAGCATGCTGTCTCGACTCTAGCAGCCGTCGCACTCTATCGGTCTCCGCCTCGATTTTCTGGAGGATTTGCATCCTCTGGAGAGCCTGTTTTTGGATCCAAACAAGAACATCAGTGTTGAGAGAAGGGCCCAAGGATTTGAAAAGAAGAGAAAAGAGAGACCTTGACACGTTTGATGTTTTCAACTCTCGTTGTCTTGTCCTCAAACTCGATTTGATGCTCGACGGCTCTACGCGCATTGGCCAGTTTCTTTTGCATGATGAAGTTTTGTAATATCATATCAGCTTCATGAGCCTTGGCTAGGAGTTCCTGTGCGGGCAAACAGAAAAGTTTCTTCGGAGTGAAAGAAGTAAAAAACATGTCCCGTACCTGAACTCTCCGTTCACGCTCGTTCTGGGCTTCTCTGATAACTTCCTGTCGCTGCTGTTCCTTCATTTCTTCCTTTCGCCTCTTCTCGGCCTCTAGTTGCCTGTGCCTCTCCTCTTGCATCTTGAGCTTTATCCTCAGTTCCTGGAAGTGGCAAAGACGTTAGCACAAACATCGGCAGTGGTGCTATCAGTAAAATCGAGCAATAATTCAGCCATCTGACGATCCAGCCCAGTAGCAGTACTCACTTCCTGCTTGTGCTCATAGTCCGACTGTCGCTTGGCAAGTTGATGAGCGAAGTTTTCGACGACTTGCTGGTGGCGTTCCTCGGCCAGCCGGCGAGCCTCTGCATTTGCTGCTTGCCTTTCCTTATTTTGTTGCTCCATCACCCGCTGCCTTTCCTGATCTTTCCTCACCATGTCCTCCTGTCTCTTCCTCAATACCTGCAAAAGAGCAAAAGTTACACACAACTACATGCAGAAAAATGGTACAGACCTCCTGCTGAGCTTCCTGTATCCTTTCAAGCTGCCGTCGGAATTCCTCCTGTTTTTGCTGTCTCTCTTGCTCTTTCCGCACTGCTTCACGTTGTAGTTGTTTCTGGAGATTAAACAAGCGTTAGGAACCCATGCATCGAAAACGCAGTCTACGCACCTGACGTTCAGCTTCTATCTGCATTTGCTGCTGTTCACGAGCATATCTCTCCGCAGCCATCTGCCTGCTCCTCTTTTCCAACGCTTCTTCCTGCGCCAAAGAAAGAATAAGTATGTCTGTGTGTAAGGAGATAACTATCGAGTTTTTCATACCTCCTTGACCTTCTCAAGCTCTTTCTTCCGTAGCTCCTCTTGCCACTCCTTGTCCTTTTTCAACTTTTCAGCTTTCTGTCCAGAAGAAAGTTACGAAAATTATCGTGTGATGCTACTGCTTTTGATTTTCAAATACCTTTCTTTCCGCAGTCCTCCTTTCCGCCTCAACCCGTGCTTGGTTCTCATCGGCCATTTGCTGTTTACGGAAACAGTAAGATGCAACAAATCACTGGAAATCACAGACCTGTCTTTGAGCTTCGTACTTGGCCATTTGCTCCATCTCTCGCTGCTGCCTTCGACGGAGTGCTTCAATTCTTTTTCTATCCTGCAAAGTACTAGGACAGAGCTTGTTCAATTAACCTTAAACAAAACGAGTGACGATCGCGATAGTAGTAAAGAGTGAGTACTGCCGACTGGGCTGTGATCGCTACACGTAAGTCGATTCCCCGAGCAAACAAGACTTGGAGTTTTTACCCTGTCCATAAGGTCTCTATCCCCTCCGCCCTTGCGCCTTTTCTCGGATGCAGCAGAAGCTCGCGACTTGTCCTCGTCGGACTTTCGTATCAAGCGTTCTCTTTCCTCTTTCAATCTTTGCAGCTTCTCTGCATTCAGGTCGCTAGGCGATTCACAAACCATTACTTGATATGCGAGATTGGAGGGGTCTGTACCTCACCTCTTCTTTGAGTTTCATGGTGGTCGTATTTTATCTGCTGGAACTCTCGGCGCATTCCCCTCTCGGCGAAAGTGTCCATTGGCCTTGAAAGTTTCCAAAGGGCAAAGATAAGAAGAAGCTAGCAGAAAGAAAAGAAATAGCTGGATTTCTCGCCATACCTGTACACCACCTCGCTGGGATCAATTCCAAGATGGAGACATGCCTGGAGAGATCTGGGACTTGAAAGCCTGACAGTATGATCTGCGAAGAAAAACGCAGGAAATTTAAAATCGCGTTCCCGCCAAAACGAAAAACGCAAAAAAAGACGAGACATACCCGTGACTTCCAGGAGATCATCCAGATTGACGAATTTCTTGTCCCTGGGGGAATGCTTGGCAGCATCGATGGCATGCTGCGAGGAAGTGATTGGGATTGAATGGATCTATCGGCGAGAGAATCGCAATGTACCTTCCAAGCGCGGAGCATTTGCTCCGTCCATAAATCTGGCGGCACGCTGGGATCATTGATGACCGCTCCCGGAGTGTGCGACATGGCGCCTCGCCGAAGCAGTTGTCCCTCAGGATTTTTCTCCCGAAAACCCTAACCCTAGAGAAGCCAAAAAAAGTTTTTTCTTTTTTTATTTGCCATATTTTGTTTCCACTGGGCCAACCGTGGCGACCCTTGAAGCACGAAACCGTGACGTGGTCCAGTCAGGGGTTGCCATCGAGCTCACGGGCGTAACGCTGGCGCCGGCCGACATGGTGACGTGTCAGTTAACTCTTGACGGTTGAGCCTTCGGCGAGTTCGTAGTGTTTAATTTTTCTTTCGTTTCCAGGTCGGTTTGATCTCGTGCTCTCTCTAATTTCTAATTCCTTTTACTCTCGTTGCCACGGGACCACATTCACTGGATGTATATGCAGCTTCTTCTTGCTATGCTAAGTTGTGAAGTCTATTTCATTAATCCTCATAAATTGCCTTTTAGGCTAGACTATAGAAAAGATTGACAAGTGGCCACTGCAATCAAACAAAAGTTGGAAGCCCATCAATAGGACAAAGGGAGATGAAGGAAACCAGAGGTCCAATTAATATCGTGATGATTAAGGAAGCTAAAGTAGCGCAGCAAATCCTAGGGCAGGAGACTACTAGATAAAGGAGAGGGAGCTCGAGACAAGTGCCAGCATGAGAATCCGCTAGTAAACAAGAAACCAAGAATCAAATATAAGTAATGTTTACTAACTTAATTAATTTTGGTGAAAGAAAATGTGATTAGGGGTGACTATGTAAAACGCTAATTAGCACTACCTTTTACACCATTCTCTTCTCCAGAAGACGGTCTGGCAGAACATTTAGAACATCTGCTGGATTGCCACAAGAACTTAAAACTCCTAAAGCACCACATTGTAGTTATTGGTAATTATGACATAATAAAAAATTAAAATTCTGGTAGAAGCATTAGCTAAATAGAATTTAGATGAACTATAAACCAACCTTAAACTTAAATTAAAGCTATAATTCTAAAACTAATAAGGGACTTCAAGTGGGTTTAATCTTGAGTTTATTGACACTTTGATGCAAATATATGATACTGGTAAGCATAATTCATAACTTTAAATATTATACCACCTTTTTGTTCATGTTACAGATCTTGTATAAAGGAGGAACATGTAAAATTGTAAATTGCATCACTAATTCCACTAAGTTTGAGCACATTTTCTTAATCTGATACTATGTTAACAAACCTGGGCAATGTGTGGACCTATTTAACAAAGCAGCAAAACATAACTTAGTTTTATTCAAGCTTAGATCAAGTTTACCTGTTATTGTTTTCATAATCCCATTAACCTTGTAGGAATATATTTTAGTGTCTTAGACTCCAAAATCATTGTTAACTCAAGACTCACAACTTATCTAATATTATACATTGAAGTTTGTTTATATTCATTTTTCATATCCTCTTTATCCCTACCTTAAAAGGAAAAAAGAATTTAAAGCATTGATTCTATTTATACTCTTTGCATTTATCCTTGCTTTAACATGTATATGTATCATGTATATGTATATGTATATGTATCATATATATTCAGCCTCACTTCACTATCATATGCACTTGGAAACACAAAAAGAAAGAAAATATATTCAAGAGAAAAACTCCTATACTCTCAAGAGAATTGAAGAATTCTCCAATGGTAATGGTAAAACAAAAACTTCTAAAAATATTCACATTATGATTTAACCTTTGAAATAAGAAATTACTCAAAGTTAGGAAGCTACTCAAAGCTACTAAAGAAAAAAGCTAGGAAAGAACAAAAGGTAGAGAAAAAAGATTATATAGTAAATTGAAACTACAAAATGTCTAACTTATCCTCATAGTTATCCTTTTTAACAAGAGTTTACTTAAGTTTGTAAATATTGTCTTCCCAAAGGTTTGATCCTTACACTACATCATCTATAGCTCTCTAATTAATGTAATAATCACACTATATCAACAAGATAAAGCAAGACACTAAGAAAAACACTATGCCCATCGAAGTTGGTAATCATCTGGCAACGTATGAAAATCTTTGCTGGTGAGCTGACTGTGGAGGGCTGTTGATTGAGAAATGTGTTATTTAAGGTTGTAGATGCTACTCTATTATCCTCATCTAATAATGATTTTCGTGCTATTGTGTCCATATGGAAGAACTGTCCCCCCATCGTCGACAAAGGATTGATGCTCTAAAGCTTCTCCAACTCCAAAGTTTACACGACACAAAAAACTCTAGCAAAAGTCAGAAGAAAAGCTTCATGCCAAAGAAAAACTTACCTGTGATTGGAAGATCCAAAAGCAATGACAAAAGAGAAATATGGACATTTGCAACAGACAATGGTGAATGTAATGAAAATTGAAAAGAAAACTAAAACAATAACTAAGAAAGCTAAATTTGACAAAAAGAGTAGATTTAGATCTAAAGAACAGATAAAATAATCAAAGCCTAATATAAGGATATAAATATTTTTAATTAGGGTAAAGACTTTTTTATATAAATTAATCTGACGGATACACTATTATCTTTAGCGTATTTATACATGTATTTACAGATTATTGATGATAGTTAAATATAGAGACAATGTTGATTGATTGATTAATAGTTAAATACAGGTGTTAATAACAATGTTGATTGATTGATTGATAGTTGATAAATTTAAAGCTAGGCAATTATTGCAAAACATTGCAAAATATAATGGGGAGCGTGTATATTTTACTAATTGCTAGCCTGCTGTGGTTAGTGGTTGATTGCAGTAGAGTAGCCACCACAAATTCTAATTCTACTGCTGGTAAGTTATGTTTATACCTATTGAACTTATTATCTTAGGTGGTAAATTTTTAGCGCTACACGGGCAATGCCACGGAGTCTTCTTCCCATGTTTACCTTTCACTGAAGGATGTTGTTCATTCTGTACTTTGTTTTTGTGTGCTTGGTGAATTATATTCCAGAGTAATCTAATTTTATTTCGTTCTTTCCGGTGAAATTTTATAGACATCGAATCACAGACATCAATCTGTGAAGATTTTCAAAACCACACTACAATGGACGATTTTTTACAGCCTCAACTTTGGCTATGATGTCCATTCTTTACAAGACTATGGTGAGCTACCAAGCCACCATTGTCCAAATATTCCTACCATTTTCCGCTCTAGTTCTTTCGTTCTAGACGATACAAGCCTTCAAAGAGCCTGATCACAAACATGTCCAAACCTGCAAGCATCGTGTCTCGTTTTTCACTTCGCATCGATTCAAGATGTTACCTTGATCTTCCCGTCTCCAGATCCGCTGTAGAGCACGTCCCCGTCCACTGCCAGCGCGTTTAATTTGCTCCCTACTGCCAGACTTCCTACTTTGGCAAGCCGTGCTCGAAGCCACACCTGCGCAGAACAGACTGGTGGTTTGCATTCGAGTTCTTATAGTCAGATTTGCTTGCCTCGATCGTTCCCGAGCTTAGGCCGAAATAGAGGAACTCCGAGCTCATAGCCATCGATCTTACTTCCGATTGTATGGACAGTGCACTTACGAGTGACTTATCGGCTTGGTTCCACACCTGTCATCGTTGATTCAGCATCGATACAGCAGAAGCAAGTCGCGTACCTTGACATTCATTCCATCACAGAATGATCCCGCTGTATAGATCTGACCTTTGAAAACTTGCAATGCATTTACTGGCCGTTTTCCTAGCAAAGTTCTCACGCCGCCTTGGATGCACATCATGGCAGTTCCTGATGGATCGGTTTCCTGCCAACCCATCTTAGTGACGTTTCTTAAGAACAGATTTCGCTTACATGTACGCTGTTGTCTGTGCATCCACAGTAAATCATGCCTTTGGAAGCGGCCACACTTTGTATGTTCTTGTGCGAAGAAATATGTCTTGCGTCATTCTCTTCGTATTGCACCTGTTACTAACAAGTTGATGACTGAGTAAGTCGATCCTTTCCCTACCTGAATGCCTGGGATGCCTTGTAATATAATGCACGCGAGAGAACCAGTCACAACCAGGCTTAGAACACCACCATTGAGCTCGAAGACATGGAGGCAGTGTAAGGCATCGTCTTCAATGGACCAAACCTGTTTGTAGCGACTGTTAGTCATGGCATAACCCGCGCTTACTGTTTTGCATACCCGGATAGTTTTGTCCAGAGAACCGCTGTAAAGCCTGTGCTTTGATGGTAAAATCGCCAGGCTCGTGACGCATTTTGTATGCTCTGTGGCTTCTCTCAGCAACAGCAGATTTTCTTCCGCAACTTTCCAGCTCTGATAAAGTGGCATAAGACAGTGTCAGTGTGGAGCGCATGTTTCGACCACCTTGATTGTTCCGTCAGAGTGTCCACTGTAGAGAAATCCTTTTGCACATGCGAGTGCACGCACCTCACCATTGCCACTTGTATCTGCTTGCATAACCTCGTCGTGTTTCCATTCTTCTGCCTGTAACTTCGAGTGCTAACTCCAAAAGGAGAACAGGAGAACGACTCACTTTCACATTTGGGCTGGTTATGAATGTTTGGTACAGCTTTGACGAGGTCCAACTCTCATTTCTCATTGATTTGAGCGGCTTGCATACGGCAGCAGCGGACTTTACAAGCTCTTGCGCACTGCCTGTTAAGAGAAACGAGTTAGGAAGGATCGCAGGATGATAATTGAACTGCGCATCAAACCTTTGTCCTTTAGAAAACTATACAAAGCAAGAGCTGCGAGGACTCGATGAGCGTCAGATTGTAGCAAAGTTATGTATCGGGGCAGTAAGAGTTTGCGAGCTTGAATCCAGAGTCCCGTTTCAGGTAGTTCACCTGCCATGTAGAGTAACCACGTCGCGATTGTTATGCAGGGTGTCGCGAGCTCCAATGCCTCGTCAAGTACATTTTCAGCTAGCACTTCCAGCAAAGTTCCATTCTCATAGTCCAGCAGAGCTCTCGCAACTTTCTTGTCCCAGTCATCCTGTAAGTCGGTAATCGGCCACTCAGTCGGGAATTACAAACGTTACCTGCTGATAATTTTTAGTTGGCTTTGTTTTCGACGCTTTTATAAGCCAGGATCTCAGCACTGGTTTACCCGAAGAAGAAAATCTCCCGACTATGCATATGATAGTACGAGCTGCTTCCACTTGCAAAGATAGCCGATCTTTGTTCTTTATTGCCTTAAGTAGTGTGTCCATTGCTTCTTCCGTGTACACGCTATCTTTCCGAGGCTCTCCCTGCGTTATTAAAACACGTTAGAAACCAAAAACGCTCAAACTTGCAATCTTTTACCAGTAAATCTAGCTGCATTAGAAGGCCTGCTGTAAGTATTTGCTGCTCCAGTGGTGCAACTTGGAGGTGCATCAGAAGCGCGTGCATGCTGCTCACACAGCCTTCAGTTTTTATAAGCCCGAGAATTTGTAGACGAGATGTTTTCCTGTCATGGTTTTGTGTTAATGTATATTGAGCGAAAAGCTTACTTGTGTGATCGAACAAGTTCCATAAGGAGCGCAATAGTTCTTGCCCTTGCCACTTTATCGGCACTGTGGAGAACTTTCAGCACCAAAGTTAAGTGATCGGCTTGAGAGACGAAAGTTCTAGCGTCCTCGTCGGCTCGCACACACCTGAGTAATATCGACACCGCAGCTACTCTTTCCTTTTTATCCTTCGTGTTCAGGCTTTCGATGAGAGCTGGAACCGCTGTCAAAGAGACGAGCGTCTTGATGTTTACAGAGTTCCTTTCCAGTTCTATGCTCGAGAGTACATGCTCAAGCATTGTGACTGCAGCGGCCTTCGGTTTGATGCTGCTCTGGAAGAAACCATCGCTAATTGTCGACTCCCTGCTTTGTTTGATGACAGCTACCAAGTGCGGTAGCAAATCGGCCATCGCGATGTCGGGAAGAAAAAGCCTCAGCTGAAGCAGCAACACTGTCAAGTCGACTAAACCTTCTTTCAAGAGCTTTTGCATGCGTTGGAGGCCTGGGTCTATAGTCAAGATGGTCTGCCTTGTGTGCTCATCCCTGTGAACTAGTTCAATTAGAATGTCTACTGCTTCCTTTTGAACCTCCACCGAACTCGACTTGCATATAGTTTCCATGAGAGCGTCGATAACTCTCGGTTCCGTGAGCAGGACAGTGACGTCTTCGTTTCCGTGGACTTCCTCCCAGAACTGACAGATTGTCCGCACCGCTGCTTCGCAATCAGTAAGATTATCCAGTCTGCTAAGAGTCTCCAAAGACATCTTTAGTTTCTCTAACCCCGTCAGGCCTGCATCTGTCAAACTGCCTGAAGACGTGGGAAAGTAATCGTTATTCGTAGTCTGAGGGGAATCCTTTATAGAAAACTGAGTTGACTCTGCTTTCCAGTCCGATATCAACCTTTTAAGAATATAGTTTGTTCTAGGAAGTGCTACCTTGATCAGAGGTTGCCGGCTCATGGGACAGGTTACATTTCCCCGACTTAGCCACTCCTTGATGGCCTTTCTCTCGTAAGTTTGGCCAGTTTCCAAAGTGACAGGGTCGTCAAATATCTGGTTCGTGATTGGACAGACAAAATCTTTGGGAGGCGTACTTGCAAATAAGCTGCAATGCAATCGAGTCAGGGGGCCACAATCAATAACTTCATATTCGTAGTACCTCGTCGAAGGAGAGCTCTTAGTTTCCATAGATATGTGATTGAAAACTTCATCGCTACCGTCTGCTTTGTTGCTTTTAACATTCTCAACCTCTGGTTGTGTATTATCACTGCTTAAAGTACAACTTTCATAAGTTTTCAGGCTGCAAAAGAAACATATGTTAGAAACTTATAATGCTGACGTACTTCACTACCTTTGGTTCTCGACATTCTTCCGATTGAAGATTGCGAGCTCGTGAACGGGTGTCATTGGTGGTTCCGCGATCGGCATAAGTGGAGGAACGCGCTTCTTCAGAGAATCGGCCGTGAGAGTTAGCCAGTCCTTGTAATGCTGTGCAAACTCCCGTGTGTGATCGTCCAGACTAGCCTGGTAAAGCCCCTCGACCCCTTCCAGCTGCTCTTTTTGTTCCAGAGTCAGCAAATCCTCTTCTCCGTCTTCCTCTCTCGACTGGAACGAGTAAGAAACGTCGTCGGACTCGGCCATCTTGATACGATGTCGTTGAAGAGAATACCACCCTTTGATGCTTGTAAGATGAGGCTGGAACAACTGGTCCCATAGCTGAGGGGCAAACTTGACTCTAGCCGACCGAGGATCCACCAGGAACATATCGAGCACGCAAACGGCAGCCTTCCGGTCATCGTTCCGTAGCTTCCACACGTAGGAGAGAATAAGCGATCCCCAAGCCGATAGATACGTCCCTGGAATCCCTGCTATCTCACTTCTCACGTCGAGCAGCGCACAAACTTGTAGCATCTTCTCGGCGTGCTGCAGCCTCGCGCTCTTCGTCTCCTCGTGTGGAGTTCGTATCGCTTCCTCCACTGCCTCGATCCCCCAGTCCAGGTTCGCCAGCACCGCTTGCTCGGCATAGTCGACATAGCCTCCTTCGTTGTTGCTGTGTTGCACCAGTGCTTCCGTGCAAAGCTTCTTGTGCTCTGCTCGTCGATCGCTGTCCAGCAACTGATCCAAGATATAGCTCCCGACGGTGGAGAGGACAATTTTTTCGATTTGAGCTGGTGTTCGTGCCGCCGCAAAGTTGTGAGAACGTTTTTTTGATGCCATCATCTATCATCGTCCGCCCTGCTAGCTAAAAAGCCTCGGTTTCTCTGGATCTAGACTTCCTCCTACGACACTCTGTCACGCGAGAGTTGTCCTAATGGCCGCGTCCTTTTTTTGTTTTAGCGAAGTTGTCCGGTGTGCCTTGGCATCTCAGAGGACGAAAGCATGCATAACACTGGTGACAAATTCAGCAGAAGAACAGAAGCAATGATGTAAGCTCGTAGCTAGTGAAACTTTTGGTTACGTACATTATATTTTGTTCAGAAGCTGTTTGTCCAAATTGTCACATTTTACGTCGTTAAATGCGTCCAAGTGGCTAATCAACAGTCGTTAGCGAGGGACACTATTGGAAATAAGGTCAATTTGCTCACTATTACTTATTTATCTGAATCGAATGTTGCTCGTCCCGTGGAAGTGAGCTTTCAGAGCTTGTGGATTCGCCCACTCAGAGTTTGTGTAGGAGTCGTCTGTGTTCTCTTTTAGAGTCTGCAAAGCAGCGTTTGCGAGAAAAGAAGTCAGCTATTGCAGGCCAAGAAAAGCGTAAATAATAGAAGCCAATGACCTTTTCTTCTTGCTGCCTTTTGTAATACCAAGACATCATGGCCTTTTGAGTCTCCGCATCTACTGGCTTCTCAAGAAAAAAAACAGAACAATTAAACAGTGAAACAATGCCGAGAAAAATAAAGAGCTTACAGGCTCACGCATAGGAGCCCCACGGCCTCTTTCTTGAAGCTTGGCAATGATCTTTATACACAAAAAATAAACAAAAAGGACGTCAGGTCAATGTACTATCAAAGAAAGCTTCCAACCTTTGTCTTGTCATTCTTCCCGACGTAATCCGCAAGTCTTTTGTCACGCATGAGCTCTTTTCCTGCCCACCATAGCTGCGCAGTAGCCGAATTTAAAGTTTCCATGCCTGCCTTAAGAAAAATCTTAGCAAGATGGTGACAGAAAAGAACTGGCATACTTACCTTCAAAAGTTCCAGTAAGTTGCTGCTGCACAGGGTCGTGCCTGGGAAGTCCCTGCGGATAGCAGATCATCACAGCGCCTTTGATGTTCTGGATCATCTCCTTGAGGAAAAAACTGGACAGCGGGACTTTGTAAAGCACTTGATCCTAAGAAGCAAAGAAGATATGGATAACTGATCAAAGAAAAAAACTAAAATGTGGCAATCACTTACTTTCGAAACGCTAGTCTCTGCGTCCGATAGCGTTCTCTTGAGCGTCTCACCCACATTGGGATCGCAAGCTTTGAGAAATAATATAGTCACGTAACATGAAAGAACGAACAAGGAACAATCTAAAATTTACCTTCTCCAGTCCGACGACCGCTTGGATCCTTCTTGTAGAACGGCCCTCTTTCCTTACGAGAAGAAGAGCTACTGGCGCCAGTGGAATTACCCTCATCTTCCTCCTCCTCCTCCTGTTCTTGCTCCTCCTTGGATTTGATCGGCCCATACTCCAGCAGCTGCCCGCATTCCTGGACCAGATGGAGAATCCGGAGCTGGAGATTATTCACGGCGACGACATCCCTGACGATCGCATCGACGCACTCGGCGCCAGGCGCCTCGAACAAGAACTGGCGATCATCGCCCTGCTTGAAATGCAAGAGCACCATAGAAATTTCCCTCCTTCTTCTCTCTTCTGCCCTAAAACTATAACCACGATTGGTAGTTACTTTTGTTCTCTATAACGTGGCAAAACTTTGCGCTGTACAAAGCAAACGAGCACAAAACGAGCAAAGCAAGCGGTCTTTCGCTTGTTCTTCGTTCTTCGGTATGGATGGAATTCCAGCCATTTTATCCTGGATTTGGCTGGAAAACAAGAATGAAGCCTTCGAATCTTCATCGATTTTTCATTGATGACTCTCGGGCTTTTGCGGCTGGGAAGAACTTGGCTGCTGGTTTTGCTGCTGCTGCTGCTGTTGCTGAATTTGGATCTGGAGTTGCTGTTGATGGTGGGTCATCAAGTGCGCATTGTACAAATCGGTGCTCACTCCCTGGATGGCACGCACGCGTTAGTGCTACGCTTTAGAAAAGCTCTGAAAAGCGAAGACAGACCTGCGGGAATTGAGTATTCGTGGGAGGAGCTCCAGCATTGAAATGGAGTCCCGGATGCTGTGGGAAATGGTGCCCGGCCACGTCTACCAGGCGTACTCCCACACCGTATGGTGATGAAACGGGAGGAACCATTGGGAACATCATCCCGCTTCTCATGGACATCATCTGGTACAAACGGAAAAGCACTTTTAGAATCGAGCCACGAACTTCGACAGACCACCTGTAGTTGATGTTGAAGTAACTTAAGGTATTCAATCGCCTCGTCCAACATGGACGCCTTGTCAGTCTAAAACAAAAGAGAAAAAGAAACAGTGGTTTTAGAAAAACTATTAGAGTCTCTTCCTCACCTTATTAGAGTTTGGTATCAGTTCCTGTAAAGCTTTCATTCTCTCGTTTATCCTGTCCCTCCGCTTCTGTTGCCACATGAACAAAGAATTAGAAAAGAAGAATTAAAATAGAATCCATCACAACTTGAGAACTTCCAAAATACCCGCTCAGAGAGATTGTGAACTTCTGCTGCTCTACTTCTTTTGGACCCCTTGGGAGGCTTCTTGTCCCTCTATCAGATCATAAGAAAAGCATTAAAAACACCAACATGAATGAATGAGAGAAAGAAACGCTTACTCTAATTTGACACCCCGCCGTGTCCTCGACGTCTACTCTTTTGCAGTCCCTGTCGGTCTTATCGCTCCGTGATCCACCCGTGGTAGCTGTGAAGGAACTATCATTTGCATTCCCCAAAGTCCTGCCAGAGTTCTTTGTATCGTAGCTGCAGTTCATATCCGAACCTGTGATATCCGTCTCACTTGGCGCATTCTCGTCGCTCGGCCTCCAACTTCTACACTCCAACGTACTCCTGTCCGATTCCAAAGAAGTAGCTTCCTGAGCTTTCCATGTCTTTGCCGCGACCCGTGTAGACGTCGTTGCCGCGGACAAAGAAAACTGGGGGAAGCTCCCCACTAGAGGCCGAGACGAGGACGAGCTCGGGAAACTTGATGGATCCTGGAATGGTGGCCTTGCTTGAGTTGAGTGAGGCCGAGTTGTCGATGGCTGGCACACTGTTCTCGACTTGTTAAACGTTTGGACACCGCCAGTTTGAGGCACAAAGCCCGCCGCTCGTCCAGCGGCTAGCGCGAGAGCGGCATCAGCATTGTTGCCTCTCGGCTGCTTCTGTAGATCTGTCCCGAAACTTTGCTGGATCCGGGGATCTCGGAAAACTTGTAGCGACGAGCATGGTCGATCTGCCGAGCCCCCGGCACCAGCAAAGAGCTGAGTGCCACAATTCGGGTCGTCCAAGTGTAGCCACGACGCCATATCGTCTCGAGCAGCGGCAAAGTTTGATGATCCAACGGCGGCCTCCACACCATCCAGATGCATTAGAGGGGTCGATTCCTCTTTAGAATCCCAGGGATATTGCCAAAACGTGTCACTTCTCGTGTCAGTATTCTGCCCAGAGGATAGATTTTTTAAAAGAAGAAAACCATGAGTGCTCGCTCGCTTTGTGGAGAAACTCTCAAAATCTTTATATCTTACCTTCATCCAGCCGAGCCTAAGTCACGATCAAACGCGATCCCAATCCAATCCAAAAGCCCCTACGCATTCTCGTACCCTGCCAAGACCAAAGAAGCCGCCGGCATTCGGACGAAATATCGAGAATGCGAGAGAAAGATCGGCGAGTTACCTCGCATTGCAGCTCCCAGCGCTCGAATCCACGCCCCCGCCGCGAGAATGTGCCCCTCCCGCGACGATATTTCGCATCCAGGAGCTGCGAATGCGGGAGACTATCGCCAGAATCCCACGCCGCGACGCGAATCGAGGCGAATTCCAAGCACACCGACCAGGCGATCGAATGCCGCCATCACCGAGAGAGCGCCGCGCCGGAGCTCCTCATGTCCTTCCCCACGAAACGAGAATACGAGCCGGAGAAGGATCTTGCCTGGATACACGTGGCATTGTGCCTGCCCTAATCATTTGGATGTAATTTGGAAACTCGTCATTGTCAGCCATTATCCCTTAGGGCAAGCGCTCCCAACGGCCGCGACGCGCCCACGTGGCAAATCCAACGGCGGGGACCCCGTCAGCTTGATTATTCTCCACCACTTGTTGGGAGATCCCTTCTTGTGGCGGTGGTGCCTGTGTGCCGCAATCTTTGCGAGGCATGGAGCCTTGTCCGCCGTACAAATTTCGCCCGTACTTCCTTTCCAGCAATGCTAGCAAGGGTCAAATAATTTGTTCGGTTGGCATTGTTTTAGTGCTTTGCTTTTTATCCTCGGACAGACCGACACGGCCTAACGTACAAACTCTCTTCTAAGGGCATGTTGTTGTTGGTGGCGTCCACGTCAGGGCATGGCCTTAATCCCTGCTTGTCTGTCGGTGGTGCGTGGATACGATGCCAGGATATATTCCACCTTTTGACTTGGGGTGGACTGCTTGGTCAAAGTCCTCACCTACCGTTGACCGCCGAATTCCTCCGGATTCTTCGACTTTCCTCATGCTGCCGTCTCGAACTCAAACTGGATTTCCCCCAAATTTCCAGTAGTCTGGAAGATCGACACCCCAGCCTCCAGCTCCACCGCCTCAATCAGTGACACCGTGCTTCCAAGGTCACCGGAGCGGCAAACGAGATCGACGAGGCACAAGTAGTGGTCCTTGCACGGGATTTTGTGGCCGTAGTCGCCAGTGAGCGAGCGAAAGTATTGCAAGCCGAGATGCAGCTCGCCGGCGTGGCTGCATGCCGCCAGCACGCTCACAAGCACAACGTCGTCAGGCTGTATACCGTGCTGTAGCATGGAATGGAAAGTCTCCAAACTCCTGGCGGTATGCCCGTTTTGGGCATATGTTCTGACCATCGCAGACCAGGCCACCAAGTCCTTGCGAGGCATGTGTCTAAACGAGCTCCACGCTTTCTCAACGCTGCCGCATTTACCATACGTGGTGACCAGGGCGGTTGCGACGGCGGCAGTCTCGTGGAGATTACACTCGATTGCAACTTCGTGGATGGTTTTGGTTTGTGAAAGAGATGGTATGTTCGAGCAGGCGTTCAGTACACAAACAAAGCTCACGGAGTTTGGAGCCTCCCCTTCAAGATCCATCGTCTTGAACACGAGGATGGCATCGTTGGGATGCCCGTTTTGGGCATACCCAGCGATTACGGTGTTCCAGGTGACAACGGATTTCTCCGGAGCAACGCTAAACATGGCAATGGCTTGATCAAGATGAGCACTTTGGACGTATGCTCCGATCATTGCAGTCCATGAGATAATGTTTGGATTCGAGAGACCATCAAACAAACGTTTTGCTCCATCCATATCGCCGCACTTCCAATGCATGTTCAGGAGAGCGTTCTTCACTTTGAAATCCGAATCCAATCCTGCATTGACAATAACGGCGTGAAGCATTTTTCCTACTGCTAGATCGACGCACGCCTCCAAGACACTGATGAAAGTCACAGCATTCGCTTTAACTCCTTCCACATTCATCGCCCAAAACATTGCAAGAGCATCTATCTTTCTTCCGCTTTGAGCCAAAGCCGCCACCATCGCATTCCATGTCACAACGTTTTTCAAAGGGAAAGGAATCAAACCAAAGAAAAGCTTTGCCTTCTCCAAATGACCATTTGTGGCATATGCTGAAAGCATAGCGTTCCAAGACACGGTATTTCGATCAGGCAATCGATCGAAGAGTTCTTCAGCCTCCGTGACCATCCCATGCCGCGAGAATGCGCTCAGCATTGCGTTCCACGAAATCACATTCTTCTCCGGCATAGAATCGAAGACGAGCTTCGCGTTGTCAATCTCCCCACACTGGGAGTATGCCTGGAGCATGATGTTCCACGAGAAGAGATCCGGCCGCTTGATCCGATCAAAGGCTCGTCGCGCCTGGGATGCCTCCCCGCATCGCCCATACATCTGTGCGACAAGATTGCCCAGAAATGTGTCGCCATCGTAGCCGCGCTCGCAAATGTGGAAGTGAACTCGCTGCCCCTCTTCCAATCGCTTCAGGGAGCCAAATCTCTGGAGCAAAGCAGCGTATGTTGCGGAATCTGGCGCTCCCAGGAGCTCCTCTATCTGCTCGTGCATAGAAGAACCCTAAACTCAGTTCTAGAGCTTCCTAGTCAGCCCAGTCAAAGATTGAGAGGAGGGAATGACGCGATGAATGAGAACGATGGCCACATCCATTAGATGCGCCAGGCGCTCCATTTCATGAGCCAAGCTTCTGTCGCTAATCCTCCTCTCCGCCACCGAGAAGATTTGGAGCGCGAGCTCGCGCCACTCCTTCGGCAATGCATCAAGACGAGGGATCTATCCCAGGGCAAACAAATCCACAAGAGAATCGTGGAACTAAGCCTAGAAGGGAGCCGATTCCTCGGTCACCTCCTTATCCAGATGTATGGCAAATGCGGCTGCATCGCAGAGGCGCAACGCGCATTCGCCAGCATCCACACCCAAAACATCTACTCCTGGAATCTCATCATCGTCGCGTTCCTCGAGAATGGGAATCTCCAGAGCGCTCAAGACCTCTTCGACCGCCGCCCCCAATTCAGCGTCATCGGATCAAACGCAATGATCTCGGCATATGCCCAAAACGGGCATCTGCGCAAGGCAAAAGAGATCTTCGATTCCATGCCAGACAGAGATACCGTCTCGTGGAACGCCATGATCACGGCATATTCCCAGAACGGGGATATACTCTCAGCCAAGAGAATCTTCCACTCCATGAAAGAGAGAGATGTGGTGTCCTGGAACACGATGGTCGCGGCATATGCCCAATCTGGGCACGGCAGGGATGCGATACGGACATTCCGTACGATGGAGCTGGAGGGGTTGCGGCCCGACCACGTGACCGTACTGTGCGCCCTGGCCGCTTGCGCGGAGACCAGGCTGCTTTCCGAGGGGCGGCAAATGCACGTACGAGCCGGTCAGTTCTGGACCGAGACCAAAGTGGGCAACGCAGTCATGGACATGTACGGAAAGTGTGGCGCGGTAGGAGAGGCAAGGTTGGTGTTTAACTCGCTGCCCGTCCGGGACGTGGTCGCGTGGACTACACTCCTGGTCGCATATGCCTCGACTGGGGATCTTGGTCAAGCAAGGCGCGTGTTTGACGAGATGCCCGACAAGAACCTCGTCTCGTGGAACTGTATGATCATGTCGTACTCCCAAGCGGGGCATTTCCAGGATGTTTTGGAGATCTTTGGTTTGATGCTCCGGAGAAATGTGGTGCCGGACGAGGGCACTTTTGTCACGGTTATCGACGCTTGCGCTAACGCCGGAGCCTTAGTCGAGGGCGAGGCCATCCACAAGGTCGCCATCCAGCATTGCACGGTCAATGGTCAAAGGTTGGTCAATGGGTTACGGTCAACCCTCGGCCTCAAGATCGGTAATGCGCTTCTCTCGCTCTACACGAAGTGCAGCCGAATGGAGACGGCGCTGGAGATCTTCGAGCAGATGCCCGTGAGAAGCGTTATTTCTTGGACAACGCTAATCTCCGCATATGCCCAACAAGGGCATGGCAGGGAATCTCTCAAGATTCTTCGAAAGATGGACCTTGAGGGCATCCCGCCGAACGAGGTAACCTTCGTGAGCGCGCTGGACGCTTGCGTGGCCGTCTCGGCGCTCCCCGAGGGCCGCCAGCTCCACCGCCGGTCCGTCGACACTGGCATATTCGCAGTGGATGCCAAGGTCGGCAATGCGATCATCAACGTGTATGGCAAGTGTGGGAGACTCGATTCCGCCCTCTGGGTTTTCCGTGATATTCCTCGTAGAAATAGGATCTCTTGGAATGCGCTACTCGCCGCATATGCCCAGAATGGGCATTGCAGAGAAACTTTGGATCTCTTAGCTCTGATGACTCTCGAGGGAATCCAGCCGGATCAGATCACTTTCACGAGCGTGCTCTCGATCTGTGCTCACGGTGGTCTGCGCCGCGAGTGCTGGAGCCAATTCGTGGCAGTAAGGTCCGATTACCGGATCACGCATGATGTGACGCACTACGTTTGCATCGTTGATCTCCTGGGACGCCTGGGCTACCTTGACGAGGCGGAGGAGCTCATCGCAGCAATGCCATTCGAGCCCACTGTGATCGTCTGGACGACGCTGCTGGCAGCATGCCGGATCCACAAGAACACAGAGCTTGCAGTCAATGCCGCCGTGCAAGCGATCGCACTGGAGCGTGGCGACCCTGCTGGACTCTACATCCTCCTCGCCAACCTCTACTTCGATGTGGGCCGAGTGGAAGAGGAAGAAGATGAAGAGCCCTAAATGTTTGGCTACGTGGCACAAAATATACGATCCACGTGGAAGCTGCTTTAACCATAGAGCTCTAGTCAACTTCATCTTTTTAGAGAAAAACAAAAAAAGAATAAAGCAGTGCTGGCAACCATGATGGAATGCCACGCATATACCCAGAAACGCTTATTCAAATACCAACACAAAACACCACAAACCAATACAAAACCAAAAGGAAGGAGAGGAGCCAGGACGAAAGAAAAGCAAAGAAAGAAAGGGAAGAGAATAACAAGGAGATACACGATCACACCAGAAGACAACGGAAGCAACGAACACGAAACATACCTTTGTCTCGAGAGAGATCTATAGAGCTCGGATCGATCACCGTTATTTAGTAGGACGAGGAGGATGAGCCCATCTTCTGGCGCTTGCTAGAGCCGTAGGCCGACGTCGAGAGCTCGCTAGATCGCTCGATCACTGCCCTCAGTGCCTCTTGGACGCAGCTCACGCTCGGCCGGTCGCCGGTCCCATCACTGCTGGATTCCATGGCGGCGCCGCCTTGTTCGTCGCTGTGGTCCTTGCCGATGAGGATCACATTCTTGACGCGCCCACCCAGCGTCGCGATCTCGGCCTTGAGCGTCCTGAGCTTGAGCGTCCGCAGCGCCTTGGTGAGATCCGAGAGGAGGTCGGGGCGGTCCTCGCAGCACAGCGACGCCTTGAGCACGAAGTTGCCATCGCTGCTGGACGCGTCCGTGTCCACCTTGAGCTCGTCTACGTCCGTCGGGACCGGCCCGCCCTCGGCAATCTCCGCGGCCTGTCGCTTGAGATCTTTGACGTGCTCGATCACCTCGGCCAGCAGCGACGCTTTGTCTGTCTGCGCAGCAAAACACCAAGCCGTGAGCTTTTTGCTTTCACAGTAGCAGCAGTACGAACGACAACGAAAGCGAAGACCACACTACCTTGGTGGTGCTCGGGAGAAGGCCCCGCAAAGTGTTGAGATGGTTGTTTATTCGCTCACGTCTCCTTCGCTCCGCTTCGCTGTGGCTCTTGGATGCTGCCAGCGCCTTTGCATCAATTATCTCTTGCGGGGTCATCTTCGACAGATTGATAAGCTCGCTCCGGTTGTGATCCAGAACAAGGGACCCCCCATTGTACTGCAGAGGGTAGTGGTGCCTGCCACGGTCCTTGTAGCTCAACCCCACTCCATAGCCGCTCGACGAGGAGGAAGCCAGCGCCCCAGACTTGTAGAGATCGTAAGGGAGTGTCGAGAAGGGCGAGGAGGAGCCGTGTAGATCGTGGAAGCGGCCAGGAGCGGAAGAACCACCACCGCCACCGCCACCGCTAGCGTGCAGTAGAGAGGAGACGTGATCCTGCTTTGTGACGAACTGGCCGTGCTGCGACGATGCTACCGCGAGCTCTGGGAATGCGGCGGTGGAAGTGGCTTGCGCTGCTGTACAGCCAGGGCCGAGAGGAGGTATCGTCCATGGCGGACGAGAGCTCGAGTGGCCCGCGGCAGTGACGAGACTAGCAGGGAGCTCCTGCTTGAGCTTGGAGAAGCCTGCGTACGTCATACCCAAGCCGGACGAGTCTACAAAGGGAAATCCCACGTCCACATTGTTCGTCGATGGGCCTCCCATGGCTGGCTTGCTCGAAACCTTCGCAAATCTCCAAGCCTCCACACCGGAATTTTCTTCTCAGCAGGGGATACGCGCGGAGATTGCAGTGCCTCCCCCTAGATCTTGCTCTTGGGAGCTCGCATTCTTCTGGCTTTCTGGCGAGAAGACTCCACCATGGAGATGGAGAGGCGCGCGATGCGATCCGAGAGCCCCGGGCGTAGGAAAAAGATAGGATGAGCCGCAATATCACGAGCCTACCTTGGATTTCTCTGACGCCTACTCGCGATTTTCTTCGCTCGCATTCTTGTTCTCGGCGTGAACACGGTCACGGTTCCAAGACCTCGGCCCGACCTGTGCCATGAGCAAAGAGAATTTCGGCGATCCGGAGCCCCGACGCCGGTACTGCTGCTCCGTCTTCGTGGATTCACGGAATTCCTGTCCAGCCCGGGCTACTGCGCCGGTCGATTGCAGCCGCCTAGCGCGTCGAATGCCACAATCTCCATGGGATCTCTCACCTGGAAGTGAAGTACTACTCGAAAACAATCTCGGAAACCCTCACAAAACCCTCGTAAGATCGCAGCAGGAGGAGCAGGCTCGATGAGACGCCTCTATCGCGAACAATCGATAGACACAGCATGAAATCGAGAGCGCAAGAACGCTCGATCGATCGAAATAGCACCAGAGAGAGAAAGAAAGAGAGAGAGAGAGGAGACCCTAGCACCAAGCTACGGACATCGTACGCTTATATAGTGTGGCGCTTGAGCCGTCACACCTGGGGGGCTCAAAGGGCGGAGTATGCGCCATGACCGTCAGGCGTGAGGGCGATCGTGGGGGTCTGTAAATGGGGGCCATGGCCATGATATCGCATACATTCCCATGGCCATCAATATGGGCATGGCCAGCCATGGGCATGCGCCACATGATGCCGGCGCTGCTGGTGATTTGATGTGGCATGCATGGGGGGCAGGAATTTCGCGCTCCCAAAATTTCACTTTTGACTGGCCGACTAAAGTAAAACCTATAGACGTGAAAACCAACATGTATAGAATGTGGTACATTGCACAGAAATCATTCTTTGTCACCTCCAACGGTATGTGTTCGTTACTCTCGAAGCCCTCTTTTTTTGACCTAAAAGCATCTTGATAGGATCACTAAAGAATAATATGGGACAGAAAAGGAGCCTGAAACAACGAGAAACATCCCATCTTGTGAGGAGCAGATCATAAGATGGATGATCATTGTTTTTAGATTTTACTATAGTTTATGCGCTCCAATTATATCGTGCAAGTTAATGGATGGTTTTGATATTTTCCGCGTGACAACAGTGGCGAGTTTTCAATGGTGTTTGCTGTTTACCATGATGTATGAAACAGGGTCAAAAATCTCGCAAGGGTTTTTTTAAGCTTGATACTCGTCGCAAATCCATCGCCCTCTCGTCGTGGCCCAAAGTCTATGATTGATGCAAGCGTATACAAACTTAAACCACATGGCACTAAGGTTTATTTGATTTTGATTGCTTCAATTGTAGTGGCGATGCGTGGCCCATCCACGACTTTATTTGTAAGATTCAGCCACAGAGCACCAACAAGAACAACTGTTCAGCTGATAGATAGCAAGAAAGAAGATAGCAATAGCACACAAACTATAAAACTAATCAAGCATATCGGGAGAATATTATGACGATAATCCCGTGACGGTGCATGACGTTGGACGAACAAAATCTCCATTCTAGCGGGATCAAAAAATTATCCATCCACGCATTTCCGGATCAAATCCAGCGTGGAAAATTAAAGGCAAGAATCGAGATCATCCTTGTGATTTTTTACCATGGTAAAAAATCGCGGAGCGAGCTAACTACACACAGGAGGAAAATCTAAAACAAGATTTGCCAAGTCAGAAGTAAGTTGGCCGTAAGAAATTGGCAGCCTCATTATACCTTTGTCAGAGCAGTGTCCCCCATGTATGCATTGCTCCCTTTAGCCATGGCCCATGGAGCCATGGCCATGGCCACCAAAAGTGGTCAGTGGACCGGCCGGCGTACGGCCGCCGCATGCACTGCTGGTGATGGTGACGGGTTCGATTCCCTGCAACGGCGCTGGAATAGGACGACGGTCACAGGCTCGAATCTCGCTCTCGCTCTCTCTCTCTCTCTCTCTCTCTCTCTCTCTCTCTCTCTCTCTCTCTCTCTCTCTCTCTCTCATTTCCGGAGAATTTATTTGCAAAGTACACGCTTGGCCTGACTCGCCGAAACGAAGCGAGCGGGCGAGTCAAAGACTCGCTTGTCACGGATCGAGAGATTTGGACGTGGACTCGTTTGTTTGGTTGTTTGCTACACTGCTGCGCTCTTGGCTGCTTCCAGCTCCAGCTCCTGCAGCTCTTGGCGAGAGATTTCCAGACTGCGAGGCAAGGCCTCCGCGCACGTCCCTTGGAATCTATACCTGTTGCGGAATTGACAGGAAAACCAAAGCTCGTGAATTCATGAATGAAATGAAAGACAGCGAAGGTTAAGCGAGCAAAGAGACTGCTTAAGAAACCGAGAAGGCAAACAAAACAGAAACAAGGACACTGAGAATGAGGAAAGAACCTGCCTGCAGTATCGGGTCGCAGGTGTCTCCTCGAGGTTGAATTCCGCAACCGCGCCGCCGCCACCTTTCACAAGCGGAATAAACCCGGCTGCTGGCTGCGAGCGACAAAAATGTTCTTACAATGCAGGAAATGCAGGAAAGAAAAGGTGGCGGTCGAAAAGATTGATCATGACAGACATGCGCAAAAGGCCAGCGGAAAAAAGGAAAACAGAGGACACAAAAAGCTTCAGATTCAGGATTCAGGATTCTTCCAGGAACCAAAAGTGATGCGATTGCGAGAAGGCCGACAGGAGTACCTGGACGACAGCGGAAGTTCCAGCAACGAGCAGCAGGTCGCAGCGGCGGAGTGATTCGTGAGCACGCTCCATGACACCGAGATCAAGAGATTCCCCGAACCACACAACATGCGGCCTCAGTAATCCATTGCATGACCTGCAGCGCGGGAGCTGTAGTCTCGGAATGTTGGCGTCGTAAGCTGATGGATCTGGACACCCCTGCTCTAGAGAAAGCCAAAAATGAGAAGAAGAAACACGAAGGCGTTCCGTATCAAAAGCAGGAAAGAAAAAACAAAAAAGCCGAAGGAAAAAAGGATTTTGAGGAGGTTTTACCTTTCCATCGAGAGCTGCACAGATTGGCATGTCGAAGTTTTGCAGCACTTGGTCGCAGGTGCAGCAGCGGGTCTTCCACATCGAGCCGTGGAGTTCTTCCACGGATTTTGTGCCTGCGCGACTATGCAGTCCATCTACGTTCTGAAGAAACGAAAAACAAGAAAAAGGATTCCATTTTAGCGAAGAACGTCGAGAAAAAACAAGCTGGAATTCTAAGAAGAAATGCGAAGGTTGTCGAGAAGAACAAAGGTGGAATTCTACGAGAAATGCGAAGAACGTCGAGCTGGAGTTTTAAGAAGAAAAAAAACATCACCTGTGTCAAAAGCTTGAACTCCTTCCCTTGTTGCTCGCATCTCTTCTCCAGCGCTGTTATTGCATAGTGTCCGGCGTTTGGCACAGCCTTGGACACAATGCAGCTATAATCAAACACCATCTCGCTAGTTAAAACTTCACAGCACAAAAAAAAAAAAAAAAACAAAGGAACGAAAAAAAAGAGGACGAAACGAGCTAAAACTTTAAAACTCACCGCCGGTAGTGGTAAAACTCCCACACCATGGAAGGATTCGCCGCAAAGGCTTCCGGAGTCGTGAGCTAAGCAGGAAAAATTCAAGCAGCACATTAACAAAACCACCCAAGGAAAAATAAAGAAAACAAAAATAACGCACCATGGCACTCCATTCTCGCCATTCTTTGAAGGTCGGGACCCCAGATTCCGCGGATATCCCTGCACCGGTGAGAACCGTGATTTTCTACATCACCGAAGATGCCAAGTTCTTTCATTTGTTCTTTTCGGTCTAGTCTAGTCTTACCTTTGATTTGTCCAGCGCGATCGCGAATTCGCGAGCTCCTTTGTCATCGCTCATCGATCGGCCCTTCTGGATCCGGCCAGATGCTCTTAGATTCCGCGATAGCGAGCGAAACATAACCTAGGCCTTTGTTATGCTTGGCATTTTGATTTAGGGTTATTGGGCGAGGGTAGGGTAGCATAAGCTAGATCGAGGAGGAGATAAGAGGGCATGGCGGTCACGGCCAAGGGCGCGGCGCTGGAATCTTGCTCGGTGTGCCTGGAGCAAGTCAGCGATGTCGGGGAGAGATCGTTCGCGAAGCTCAAATGCGGTCACTATTTCCATCTAGGTATGCCAAAAGCCCTCTTTCGCTGGATTTGTGATCTTCTTGTTTTCTCCAGATTGTATCGGCTCGGCCTTCAATGCCAAGGGATCTATGCAATGCCCGAATTGCCGGCGCGTCGAGGAGGGGCGGTGGCTCTATGCTTCTGGATGCCGCCAGCACGAGGATTTCGCCTTTGTAGATCTGCCGTCCAGCGACGAGGAGTATGATGTCTACGCAGGCATGGCGGACTATCACGAGCTGGTATGAAAGAAAGAAAAAAAACGTTTTTTCTTTCGTGGTTCGTACTGATCTTGGTTTGTTTGTCTCGCAGCACTTACGCCATTTCCAATGGTGTCCATATCAGAGCTTTCTCAGCTTGGAGTAAGTATCCTGGATCTCTCAGGATTGATTATAACTGTGCTCTTTCCGTTTGTTCTCAGGGAAATCGATCCTTTAGTAACTGGATGTAAGTGCTCGTTTCATCCAGTATTCTAGTGACTGAGAGAACGTTTTGTTTTTTCTCGTGCAGATTCAGATCCCAACGTTGTTGTCAACGTTTTGTATGGAGAGAACCATCCCGCGGCCCCGACGAACAGCAACGCACACCACGTATGTCCTTTCTTTTCCCCCGCGCAGTCCTACTGGGGGGCGGCAACACGGCAGATTGTAGATGAACTGGTTGTAGTGCAAAACCAAGTAGAGCCCCCGAGTGTTGGTGGTGGTGGTGGTGGAGGGGGCTCCATAGGTGGGACTATCAGAGGGCCACACTCATTTCCAGTCCATGAAAGAACTGGATGGGCTTCTCAATCTGGTGGTGCACACAATCCAGTTGGTATGATGAATGATGTTGGACTTGCAAGCTTACCTATTGAGCGTTTCAGGTGGTCTGCTCCTGCAAACCGCAGTGATGCTGTGCAGCCTGGTTACTCTGGGTAAGTTCACCAGAAAAGGCAGTTTTTTCTTTGCGTGCTAACGTTTTTTTCTGTTTTATTGTTTACAGGCAGCTCAGATCTCCTGAAAACAATGCAACATCATGGCATCACGTCCCGTGTCCTCACCACGGGCTAGCCTCCACCAATGTGTCCTCGTCGCCGGCTTATGCCCATGGGAACGGGCCGTCGAGAAGATCAAGACATTGGGCCCATGGAACATCGTCGTCCACAGGCCGAGTTGGAGCTGGATCGAGAGTGGCTTCTCCGAGAGAGCAGCGAGAGAGCCACCACCGAGAGTGGCAGCGTAGAAGAGAGTCCCCCGGCTATGAAACTATGGTGGATGCGTCGTCACACTGGCGTCCTTGGTTCCAGTCGGGCAGCAGTGGGAGCAACTTATCATCGGAGCTCAGAGCGGCGGCAGCGTCTGGAAGTGTTCGAGCGGATGTTTATGGTTCGAGTGATGGTTTCCAGGGGCAGCATTACTACTACAGCCAGTCGTATGCTCCTCCAGGGGATGAAGCGCGTCACCAACAGCACCACCACCACCACCACCATGCACGGTGAATGAAGATATATATAATACGGATTTTAAGTGATTCTGGTTCAAGTAAATAAAGTAAATAATTCATTGGCAAAGAAAGAATAAAATTCTAATTAGGTTAAGATCCTCTAACTTAAAAGCTTTAAAAATCCCTTTAAAATTTTAATGCTCAACATTAGTTAATAGTAGCATTTACTCATTTTAAAAGTCTTTAACTAATGAAAATCCGTTCACACAACCATTTATATAAGGTTATTTAATCACACTTCGTTCGCATCATTGCCTTGCTATAGTGACTGTGGAGGTGCTGCCAATCCCCACAACTCCCAATGCTAATTGATTGATGGCCAGCAACTAGAATCCCTAACAACTCTAGTACAAGGATTGATTGATTTCACAATTTGAGAACTTAATGATTGATTGATTGGCACATTGACAGTGCCCTTCGATCTTGGCATCGTCTTGGTGGAAAATAAATTCTCCACCACTTCCCCTAAAGAATATTCTTGAATATTTTAATTCTAATGCTAGGATTTTAAGGAAAAATACAAAGTAGAATATTTAAAAATATCTAAGTATATTTTATATATACCCTTCATTCACATTTGTTGATTTGTGTGATGAGGGTAAGGCTTTTGCTTGCAAATTAGTGGTGATGTTGGCCGCCCTTTGGCAGTCCTTTACTGCCAAAGGGAGGAAAACATCACCACTAGTTTTATCCTTACTCTCCTATAATGGAAAAAAAGAAAAAAGTGAAAGTATAGCTAGAGTCTAATATGTTTGTAGTATTTTTTATCAAAACTCCAACACATGTACTTTGTGATAGTCTTGGAAAAGAAGAGGGCTAAGATCTTGTTGCCTGACCAATGACACCTATAAGTTGATCTATCTTGCAATCTTGGACATTGAGGCATGGCCCATCTCATCCTCATGGAGGAAAAGCAATATTCTCCCCATCCCAAGATTTGCCACCTTATTTACTGCCAATTCATTATTGCAAACACTGTGGTAGTCTAGTTGAAACAATGAAGAAGTCCAAGTTTACAATTGTGCAATTAAGGGGGTTTCACACCCACCATTAAATTAATTAATTTAATTGTAATGTGTTCACACCACCACATTAGATTTTGCAAATTCTAATTTAATAGTTGAACTCAATGGTAATTTGTTAAGACTAGAAATTACCATTAAATTAGCTGAATGGTAACATTAGCATTTCTTTTAGCAATTGTTATTTATTTATATTATTGAGGTTTATGAGGGCCAAGTGTACAATTATGATGCCGTATACTAATATTAACATGATGGGATTTTGGTAGCCATTAGATTGAAATATGATGCCGTATACTAATATTAACATGATGGGATTTTGGTAGCCATTAGATTGAAATATGATGCCGTATACTAATATTAACAGGATGGGATTTTAGTAGCCATTGGATTGATTTCAATCTAGACCATTCGCTCATGTATATAAACTAGGGTTTTTGGGCTAATTAATATGCACATTTTCTATATTCCCTTTCCATGCACTCACAAGTCATACAAAAATGGATGGAGTAAATTCAGTTTAAAATAAATAATCCATATACTATAGTACCATAATTAATGTATTACCATATTTATATACATACATGTATTTACAAACCTTACAAATTTAACATTTTGCAACATAAATATTTATAAGAAAATCTTCTTAACCTTGAAAATGCTATACCATGAATCATTCCCGCATGTTCATCGTCTTCCTCTTCTCACCAAACTAGGGCTATTTTTTGTGCGTCTTGTTCCAGCTCCAAGAATTCCCAATGCAGATGTAGACAATGTAGGCTTGAAGTGCGGGATTTAGAACTGGGAAGATGGCGAATCAAGGTGAGGCGGCTGTGTACAAATTCTACCAGAGTAGTAGGACTGCAGCTCCCGCTTCCGGATTTGCACTTAGCAAGCAGGAAATCAAAACTTCTTACAGAAAACTTGCTTGAGAGGTGTGATTTTCCTCCTTTGTAATTCACGAGCTTGTAGTTTGCTAGCTTCTTTGTTTTTCAGTTTCATCCAAACATAAACAAGGAGTCCAATGCAGAGGAAAAATTCAAGGCGATCACTACTGCGTACGAGATAAGAATTTGCATTTCTTTCAATTCCATGAAGATCATTCCCATGTAGGTGCTCTCGGATGATGAAAACCAAGCCATCAAGAGGAGGGCCAACTTCCACGGTAAGGCATCAATTTTCGATTGATAGAGATGATCTAGAGTTTCTTTTTGTGCGCAGGATAGTCCATTCATATTTTTGACTCGTTTTTAAAAGACCGAGCAGATTTGAAAGGCGCAGATTGATCTGGAGTTCAAGAAAACGATCTCAGGTATGATCCAACTTACAAAAAGATCTTCTTCTTTTTTTTTGGATTTTATTATTTTTCTCGTGACAACGCTTCTGCAGGAGCCTTGACTGACCTCAAAGAAGCGGTTTTTGGAGTGGAAAAACAGTTTGACATATGGCATGTGGAAAGCTGCGAGGCATATAACGGAACTAGCGCCAGAAGCAAGAGCACAAAGAGATATCGAGTCTGTGGAGGAATGGGTGAAGTTATGCGGACACAAGAAACAGACTTCGGGATGTTCTCACAGGTTAGCAATTCTTCGATGACTTTTGACTCTATTTTATTTTTCTCACAGGTGAGGGACAAGTGGAGTGTTCCGTGTCAGTGCGCATGTTGCCGGTGGACTCGCTTGTTCTATGTAGTTTCTCTGTGACTGACATTGTGCTCTCTCCGTGGTCCATCCGGTGATCTCTACGTCAATCTTAAAATCAGAGACATGCCTAGAATTCGAAGAGACGATCTTTACTCCGATATCTCGGGAGCTCGGAATGTATACTGGGCCAGGGTGGCAGTGAGTTCATGGTGGATGCATTTCTAGTCCGGTAGCAGTGGGAGCAACTTATCGTCGGAGCTCAGAGCGGTAGAAGCATTCGAGCGGATGTTTATGGCCCGAGTGATGGTTTCCAGGGGCAGCATTACTACCACAGCCAGTCGTATGCTCCTTCAGGGGACGAAGTGCGCCGCCACCACCACCACCACCACCACCACCACCACCGTCAGCAGCAGTATACCTGTTGAGCTTGGCAAGCTTACCAGCTTGGAAACGCTGAGAATTTGAGGACGTGAGCCCGTCTGTGCTACTAGAGAAAGAAGCATACTCCATGTCCTTGTAGAACCCAAGCTTCGCAAGAGCCTCCTGCGAAAGATGGCAATGGTTTAGAAATACTTCAAGGAAGAAAGAAACTGAAACGAAAAGTGTGCTGGACGCAAAAACGATTGAACAAACAAAAGGAAAGCACGTACACCAAAGCTGCAGGACAAATCCCCGACAACGCTCAGAGTGTTGGACCTGTCCCAAAACGCGGTCCCATTCCCAGCTCCTTTGACCAGTTCTCTTCCCTGGAAGATCTAGCAATGGAGTTACAGGACAAATGCCAAGCTCTCTTGGCCAACTTCACAGACTTGTCCTTGACGGAGCAGCTGTGTTCCTGAATCTTTAGGACTTCTTTTCAATCTAGACGTCTTTTGGGCCTCCCAAGACTCACAGGCCTTTCGGTGAACAACCTCACTGGACTTCCTACCAACATGGCCAAGCTTGTCAACTTGAACGCTGTCTACTTAGACAACAATGACATTAGAAGCTTTGACGCCATCTCTGGCCCGGAGCTCTCAACCATCTCTCTCAGTCGCTGCAAGCTCCAAGGACCAATACGTTCCTAGTTTAACCTCAAGCAGCAGCCCCTGGGACCTTCATGTTTCATCCCAAATCCATTACTGGAACTGTAACCACTGCTCTTGGACAGCTTTGGAAAACTCTCCCCTGACTTGAACTTTGTGCGATGGATCTAGAGAGATTATCATGGAGGGTCTAGGACCACAATCACAACATATCACGATGACTTTGTTGCTTGGTTATTGAAGTGAGTTCCAAGGAGCATTGAAGTTGCCACTTTGTGGAAGACTTTGGACTTTAGCAGTAAGATATACCATCTAAATGCCTCTCTAGGGAAGGAGGAGGAGGACAGCATCACCACTACTTAAGTTTTGAAGAGACTAAATAATCATAAAGTACAAATCTTTTGAATATCTTATTTATCTATTTACATAATGCTTTGGATATCTTAAATCTCTTGTTTCACTTTTGTTTATCTATTTACATGGTGTTTTTATCCAAAGCACTGGGCTAGTGCATCTTCTTGCTTTATCATAGAAGTTTGAAGTCTTTTGAAAATTGGTGACTTTAAGTACCAATAAACAAACAAAACTATAGAGAATAAAGCTATTTAGAATATGTTTGTAATTAAAACCAACATGATTGGAATTTTAAGCACATGTGGTTTTTACCCTTTATTCTATGGTGATTTACCATAAAATAACCACGAAGTGGAAAATAAATCAATAATAATCTTGGATTGCTAGCAAAGTTTTTTGGATCCATGTTATAAAGTCTAAATCTGAATATAGGATGAGGTATGAAAATTCCATGAATAACTGGAAAAAACTTATGAATAAATTGAAGAAATCTCATGAGATATTACTAAGATACTATAATTATATAACATATATATATAATCATATATATAAGTATCTTTTTCCTCTCTTTTCTTTTGCTTTATAATACTGTGTATAAAAGTCCTCTTAATTGATTAATTTCATTAAAAGTATAAAGATAAATTATGTATGGATTTATCTCTTTATCTACTAATTTATATAATTAATGGATTGTCATTGAAAAAAACTTATGTGACATAAAAAATCCAATATTCATTCTAATATTTATTTTTAATTTTCTTTTTATAGTCCTAAAATACAAAAAACTATACCTTGTGAAATTAATATATTCAAGTAACTTTGCAAAAGTTCGTTCAGTACCCAAAGACAAATAATTTTTCAAAAACAAATTCATTGAATTAAAGTTATATAGTAACAAAAAGCTATAAAAAAAGTAGTATATTTATTACAAAAAAAAAAGTGGTTAGTGCCCATTGTGTTGACTATAACAACGAAAAATTCTGTTATGTGCATAACAGACAAACTGAAAATTTTGCATGCTAAATTGAAAACAATTGTATAATATCAAAAACTCAATCTTTACCAAGGGATTTGCTACATTTAAACTAAAAGATAAAAGAGTCCTAAAAATTTTGAATGTAATTTATCATGTGGAATAAAAACACAATATAAATAAATAAATAAACAAAGTGAAATAAAATATTTATACCTTACAATTATTTGAGGAATCCAATTTTTTCAAAACTCATATAGTGATAATATTATTTCTATTCTCCTCTTTTAAAAAATTTCCATATCACAAATTAAATTCAGAAACTTTAAGACATATAACTCATATTCAGCAAATCCCATAACAAATATTAAGTATTTGATGTTATGCAAAATTTTTAATTTGTCATTTTTATGTGCATTTATTTATTGTTGTAGTAAAATAAATAGATATTAATCAACTTTTTCTAGCATAGCAATTATATTTTTTTTTATAGTTCTATACAACTTACTTTGAGTTGAAGTAAATAACTTCAATTTAATAAAATATCTTTTAAAAAATTTTGTTACCATGAATGGTAGACTATAAAGCCTTTATACTCGTTACAAGTGTTCTGCAATGGCAAGTCCCCCGAGTCTAATGACTTGAAAATAACGTCATTGAAAATGACAAACACATTTCCACAGTTCCCAAACCCTAGATACTTGGCAACAAAGTAAAAAGCAGCCATGGCCATGCAAATAGACAAAGCATTATTAATTTATATTAATAATCCACTGCTCACTATTATAAGCTTTATAACCAAGCCGTTACTACTACTTCAAGGTATTCAAATATGCCACTGCAACTAATATACTTTATATCTTGACTCTAATCTAAGATAGCTTCAAATCTAAAACGCATGAGGACACTTTTGTACATTTGAAAATAAAAAATGAGTATTAAAAATTATTGATAAAATGGTAAACAAGAAAATCTACTTTTGATGTCATATTTTTAAGTACACCTAGAAAATTAAGGTATTTAAAAAATATATAAAATAAAACAAAAATAAATACAATCATGAATTTATAGTATCTTAATAATATCTAATAAATTGTTAAAGAGTAAGCCTCTCATCATCAATGAATGAGTTCAGAAACATTCACATCCTCTCCTTTAAGGGTTTGATCCCTAAAAGCGCGGCCTTGTTTTACGACTTTAAACGAAATTAAATAAAGGGGCCGTGGACGGCAGGATTCGAACCTGCGCGGGCAAAGCCCACATGATTTCTAGTCATGCCCGATAACCACTCCGGCACGTCCACCCACTTGTCGAACATCCTCCCCGCCACGTAGGTCTTGTGCATGCATGCTTGACAATATAACTCCCAAGCATTGCGAGTTTCCTCTTGCTGGTGATTATCATGGAGCCAAAGTTCGCCTACATCACCGTCTACTGCAAGGACGTGACCAAGTCGGTGGATTTCTACTCCAAAGCGTTTGGGCTCAAAGTTCGTCGCATTGACAACGCTCGCAAGTAAGTTCTAGAGATGCTTGGGTGTTAAAAATCTGTGAGCTTGTTTTTGATCTTTAGATGGGCCGAGCTCGACACGGGCTCTACAACGCTGGCTTTCACTCCTCTAGAGCAACACGAGACTGCTATAACTGGAGGTGTCCAAACAGCTTCTAAGGACGAGCCACGCCACAATGTGGAGATAAGTTTTAGCTACCAAGACGTTGATGCGGCATACGAGGTAGCCTCTCTTCTCCTTCTTTTGCGTTCTTGTGTACTTCCCCTTTCTAGATCTTAATTCCTCGATTTTGTAGCATGCTGTTCGAGCTGGAGCGGTCTCGGTTGCTAAGCCTGAGGAGAAAAAATGGGGTCAGAAGGTTGGATATGTGAGAGATATAGACGGCGTCATGATCCGCCTTGGTAGCTACGTTCACGAGCCTTGATTGATCTGTGGCTATGCCTCTAATAAAACTGTGAAGGATTACCTCAGCTGAAAACTTTCTTGATTGCTTCCTTCTGAGCGTCTGTCAATGTCTTTGGGAAATCTACTTCGTATGTAACAAGCAAGTCGCCCGAGTTTACACTCTCAAAAATGGGCATGCCTTGGCTGCGGAATCGCCTAACTTCTTTCGGCTTTGTAACACCCTGAGGACAGCAGTCCAACCAAGTTAGCTCCATTAGTTTTGTAGTGGAGTTTGCGTTCTTACCGTACTACCGATGCTAACGGCGTGGCCATCGAGATGTTTGATCTCCTTTTCAAAACCAACCAACGCTTCAAGCTGCCGCAAAGAATCTCGTCAGTAATCTAGACTGTGAATGGTTAGCTTCTAGCCTACCAAGGAAATGGTAACAGCTGTGTGAAGGTTGTTTCCATGTCTCTCGAACCGGTCGTGCTTCTCGGTACGCACAACAAACTGCACAAGAAACCAAATAAACACTGGATTTTGGAAAGAAGTAAAAGACGCTTCGGACCTTCAAGTCGCCTGGATCTCCATCAATTATCGGTTCGCCATCCTCATGAAACGTGATTTCCTATGTAGAAAAAAAAAGACATCGATCAATGAAAGAAAAAAAAACCCACTCACATGCCCATCCTTCATTCCCTTCTCTATATCAACGGTGATGTGGTAGCCTTCGCGAGCAAACTTGACATTGGGACATTGTTCGCAAACCTGCACAACAAAGACAATCGATCTCTTGTAGGACAAAAAAAGGCTCGTAGAACAAAAC